TTCTGAATTTGAACCATAGGTAGGAATCAGGGAAAAGGGGTTGCTTGTTTTTGAGGGAGGTGTCTTTCTAAACTTTTCCTGCTTACTGATTAAGTAGCAAAACATAAGACTGAAGGTACAATATGATAAACTAGAGGTAAATGTGTTTCTCTGTGTGTAATGCTTTGCCAGGTGCATTAGACCTAGAAAACCACATTCTGCCCCACTTAATTTGTTTCATGGCATGAAGCTCTGTGATGGAATGTTAATGTCAGCAACCTCTTTATTTACACACTATGGAAAAAAGGAGTAGTAATTAACACTTTGACACTCCCCCATTGATGTGTAATTGACTGTTTCAAAGGAGCACTGGTTCATAAGCTATTGCATGCATTAAAATTGCGTTCTCTATATTGCAGCTTTGTAGGACAGGGGTCAGTGACAATGCAGAAATTGTTCAATGATGCAAATTTTTTTATTACTGCATTAAGGTTTTGACATATTAGTAATGAATAAATGTTTCCATAAAATTAGATTTTTTTTATAACTTTGAAATTGAAATATGACACTGAACACACTGTGACTTCATCTTTGAAAATAGTGTCATTTTCCAAAACAAAGCACAGTGCAGGGCATGCAGCCTTTTACACTTACAGCATTGCCTTAACAGTTGGTGATTTTGAGGATAGATCTAAAGGCGAAAGGTTTGGTCCTTTGTCTCAAAAGAGAAAACCTTCAGAATCACCAGCTGCTTCTTAGGAAAAAAAGAACTTTGTTCTCTTAGGATTTGTTAGTGTGTGGTGCTTTTAAAAAGCAGCAATTACATTTTATTTCGGTGATATTTTTAAATGTGTATCATCTATGTTCTGAATTTTTTTTTCCATTTGGCATGGTCAAGGTCCCATTTTATTGAGAAGCTATTTAGGGAAAATACCTTGTATATGAATAGAATAGATAGTATAGGGACATTTTGCATTAGATAAGAAAACATAAATTAAGTTATAATGGGGGGGAAGATGTAAGAATTTCATTGGGTTTTTCTTAAAATGTAATAATCTTCCAGTGAGTGTGCCATTTGTTGGAATTTGAACCTCTTAAATCAGCTTTTGGTGTGGTTTTGCTCTTTTTTGTTTTTTTTTTTTTTTAGTCTTAAGCACATCTTTGGGGAGATGTGTTTAATTGTAAAAGATTGTAAACGTCAGTTAAGGTGTAACACCAGTTTTTTTAAAAAGAAATAGCTCTTTTATTAAATGTCTGCATTAAAGACTGTAGCTGTATTAAATGTCTGCATTAAAACTGACTAAAAATGTTAGGTTGAAGAAGCTGTCTTGTTGGATAGCTTTTGTAGATTCTTACAGGTGGCATCAGTTAGAATTTGTTGTTTTATTAACACTGACAACTTGGGCCAACAGTAGCATAATCTTGTGTCAACTGAATCGCCCTAACATGTCCACATTTAATCTGATGTTACTCAGTTGCTACCTTCTTGCTTCAGAAAGTTAATCAGCATCTCATTTGCATTTGTTAATTAGGGTTAATGTGCACTAATTGATTTTTTTGATGCTTGTAGATTTCCATTAAGCCCAGTTAGCAGTAGTTGCTGGTGTACCTCATTCATTTGAGTTATGATGATCATGTTTTTCTTGAATCTGTGCCAGAGAGGGAGCCTGCATCATAATTATAGCTAATTAACACAAGATTATGCCCTGTATTAATGTGCTTCCCTGATCTTCCATTAATGTAGGAATGTTATAAATTCCAAACTTAAATATTTTCAGAGTGCCAAATATCTAAATTAACAAGTTGCCTAGAAGAAATACTGTTGTTGGGTTTTTTTGTTTGTTTTTTAAGGCAGTTTGAACAAACTGGGTTCCATAAATGTTGAAGCCATTAGGACTATTTTAAGAAATGACCAAAGAGAAAAGAGGCAGGCAAAAGAATCCTAAATTGATTTTTGGAAACTTGCCTCTTCTAAAGTGTATTGATTCATACAAGCAGTTATACTAACTAGTTTTGCAACTCGGCATTACTATTTGTGGCAAAAATGTTGATGAACATCTCTCATCTCTGGCTTTTTGAAGCCCCAAGTTTGCAGAAGAGTGTCCCCTTAGTAATTTGGCTATTAATACCCAGTGGGGTATTTGTTTGCTGTTTGTAGCTGTCAGTAGTTAAATGTTAGGGCCTGATATGACGTCAAGTAAGTCACTTTCTCGAGCCTTGCTTTCTTAAGACCATTTGACTAGAGCACCCATCTTTATAATCCAAGTACTGTATATGAATACAAGAGGCAGCTTATTAATTGGCCATTAAAGGAACAGGTTGAACAAGTTTACTTGTATATATTTATTTCAGCTTTTGGTAGTGTTAATTGGAAGGAAAATGGCACTAATTATTGTGTTTCATTCTCTTATTTAAATTCTTGCTCTCAATGTCTAACTGTTCAAGAAGCATGTAAATGGAAATTTTGCCCAGCCAACAACTAGTTGGTTGATAGTAATGCAACTATTTTACTTTACATTTGCTAGGTAGGGAAAATTATTAAAATTTGAAATTAGAAATGGGATTAGCATAAAAACTAATGAGGAATTATTGGAAGAGAGTTCTGGGTATCAAATGGAACATGTTATTAAATCTAACTACTACAGGAAAATGATATTTTCATTCTTTTAGTGTCTAAAAAGGAAATAATTCACTTTCTCTTAGAATTGTGTGACTAGCTCTGTTACTATATATGACTACAGGAAAAAGTATCTAGAAAAAATTTTTTACATGAAATTTGGTCTTAACATGGGGTCATTAAGTACAGATTACCTCATAGGGCTTTGATAAACAGCAAAAATAACTGTAAAGTGATTTGCCCACATAAAACACTTCATTCAATATTTATTGAATGATTTTGTTTTCAAGTTACTTTAGCATAATTAGTGCCTAATTACAGATGTTCTCTTTTTAATAATGATTTTTACCAGAGGTTAGACTTAGTTATAAATGTTTATTTCTTTAGTTAAAATTTGAAATTCATTGGTCTTCTTCAATACTCTTTATCTTTCAGGCTTGTTGCATGAACAGAATATGGCAAAAATGAGACTCCTTACTTTTATGGGAATGGCAGTAGAGAATAAAGAAATCTCTTTTGACACAATGCAGCAAGAACTTCAGATTGGAGCCGATGATGTGGAAGCATTTGTTATTGATGGTAAGGGCCATTAGATCTTTTCCAAGAGTTAATTGTCTTCTTTATTTGGAATAGCAAGGCATGTGAGATTTGGCTCTTCAGCTTACTTGGGAAACCCTCAAAGCAAGACTCTTGTGTAGAATCCAGTGTGTAGCTCAGTTACTACTGTAGACCCTTGGTATGACATCATTGTTTTGTGTAGATTTAGATATACCATGCATTAAATCATACTGCCCAAAACAAAAATCTGATGGATATACAATTAGCCTGTACATATCATAGGTTTTATTCTTTATCCCCCCAAAAGTAGTGTATTAAGCAGTTCAGCTGCATTAAGACTATTAACTAATGTTCAGCTACGAATAGTTTTCGGTTTTTACGTATATCCAAATTTACATGAATTTCCAAAGACAAATTTAGCAAATAAAAATTGATTTATAAAGCAAAAGCTTATAAACATGTAGATTGTCTAAATGGCTCTCAGTGACCTAAGTCTAATAATTTATAGAGAATGTTTAGTAATTTTTTTTCTTACTGCTATTAAAACAGGATGTGTTCGTAAAAGGGAGCAGTTCATAAAAATTATACAGGATATTGCATTAATAGATTGGCACATCCACTATAGGATGGGTGCATGACCTTCATTCTTAACTGCCTCATGTTACTTTGATTTTCATTAGTTTGGAATATCTAGTTTGTTAAAAAATACTAGAAACACACTAGAATACTCTCTGTTAATTCAACATATATAAAGTTTTCTAATGGAGTGCTTATTCAAGTATGTCTCCTCTTTGTTTTATAAGTGTTCCTTAAAACAAATCATGTAAAAAAAAATTTTTTTTTCAGCTGTAAGAACTAAGATGGTCTACTGCAAAATTGACCAAACACAGAAAAAAGTAGTTGTCAGGTAAGATATGTAATTCTATGCAGTTTTTTGTAGGACGATCTAATGTGTTTTAATTATTTAACTTCTTATATATCTGCTTACTATTTTAACTAGAAGCAAGGCATTGTTCCTATCAGTTGCCTGTAGTTAAATAGTTGCTATTTATCATAATTTTTATTAAAGTTCAGACTGAATGTGATTAGCTTATTTAATGAAAGAGTCCTATTTTCCAGCACATTTCATTTAATGACCCAGCATTGGCAAGAATACTAATGACTTTTGTGTCTGCTTTATATAGTTGTGCAGAGCAGTAGAAGGTCTGGAATCAATATGGTGAAGACTTTAAATGTATGCATTATATATACATGTATATATGTCCATGTATGTGTATGTATATATATGATATATATTCCCATATATATAATCTCACACAAGTCTAGTCTGATTTGAGGGTATAAATTTGCTTTTTCTTTTATTCGTCTTTGCCTTTAATAAGAGTAGAACATTAAAACTGGACTATATATTGTAGAGTCAAACACTATTTTGCTAACGTTTTCTTTCGATTCTTCACTTTGTAGTCACAGCACACATCGAACATTTGGAAAACAGCAGTGGCAACAATTGTATGACACACTAAACGCCTGGAAACAAAACTTGAACCAAGTGAAAAACAGCCTTCTCAGTCTTTCTGACACCTAAACTTTTATGCATGATTTTGTTCTCTTTAGAGACAATTCTAAATCATAGTGAAACACATTCTAAAACAAATTTTGATACCGTCTTGAAGTTTATTGTCTCAGATTTCAAGTTAAAAAAATACTATGCCAGAAATTTCAGGAACAAAAATAATAAATTACGTAAAGGAAACCATTTTGTTGATCTCTATGCTGTAAGTTTTGTTCTTGAAAGGGTTCATTTTGGAGGTGAGGGGGGATGAGATTCATGGAAGGAAGAAGAAAGGAATCAAAATTTCTAAACAGTCAATTTAATCTTTGAACGAAAGGTTGCCAAAAAGGAAGGTTGCTCGTTGTAAGGAAGTGTTAGATGCTTGACTGGAGTAAAGCGGCTTCTTCGTATCAGCAGAAGTCGCAAAGTGAGGATGTTTTTCGAATTGGATAAAGTGAATATTAATTATATCCTACTTAGGTCAAAATACAGCAGTCTAGTTACATTGTAAAGAACATCCATTAACTATTCTTCAACTACTTGTTCTAACATCTCTTCAGATTTTCTTTTTCTGGGTTCTTCAGGCTTTTCCAAATTTCGATACTTTTCTATTTCACTAATTTGGTTTTTTATTAAAATGTCTTGGAATTGCCAGTCATCCTCTTCCTCACCAAGGGAACAGTCAGTAAAATCAGTTTGCGGTGGCAGGCCAGCATTCAAGAGTTGTGGTTTGTCCTAGAAAAGAACACACCAGCTGTCATTTGGAAGCTACACTGTTGTACTTCATTCATCATGACAATGTACAGTTAGAAAGAAACAGCATCAGGGCGAAGGCAGCTGCAGCACAGAAATCTGGCATTGCCTCTGCCTGCCTGGACACATGATCCTTAGAACCATACCTAACTTAGAAATCTTAGTGCATTTTAAGGAATAGCTAATAGTTCTTCAGAAGAGTTCTAAAAAAGACAAGCGGATATTAAAAAGGGAGAAGAGACTTAAATTAGTGAAGATAAAAATCTACTTGTTTTCTACTCCCTTCCCTTCCCACAAGAAATGTCTATTTTTTCTTATACTTTGTCCAAGCCAGGGAAATATTAAAGGTTAAATACTAGCAGAAGTCAAGAACAACATGAAACTGCTTTTTCCTTCAGGTTTCCTCTTGCAGAGTGAATGCTATTGTTGAAGGAACAGGAAAAGCAGCGAGGGAGGTGGAAATTGGCAAATTTCCAGGATGCCACATTGGGTCACATTTCAATATTGTGACTTAAATATAATATACATGGAGTTATTTAACTTAAAGGTTCACCTCCCCCCACCCAGTACAGCTATTTAAATAATTTGGTGGGGTTTTTTTAAACCTGTACAACCAGAACTGTAAGGATTTATCCCCTTGCATAGCTCTCATCTCTCTCTTTTGCTCTGAAGAGGCAGGAGGCTCTCTACCAGTGAGTGCGTGCTGTCAGAGTCAGCCTTGAACCTTGCTGTTACCTCCAAAATGTTTCACAGAAGAGTTAAGAGCACATCTTAAAGTGAAATGGATTTATAGTCAGAACCCAAGCCTCCTGGCCCCTATCTCTGCCATTCACTAAGCCAGAGCAAGTCACTTAACATCTGGGGCCTGTCTGTGTATTTCTCTAGTCAGCAATCTGATCTGGATGATTCTGTATCTCATTCTGAGTCATTTAAGTTCCTTGGACCAAAGGGTCACTAGGGCAAGAACAACAGACTTCCTAAAGTTATAGTACCTAGATTGTAGATTCACATCACAATTCATATACTTGCTACCTCTATACCTTCCTCTCTTTGGGCCACAAATTTCTGGTCTGCAAAATAAGGCACTTCTTTGACTACACTGGCAATGAAAGCCTGATTCTTTGCTACCTCTCCCCAGAGTTTTGTGCCATCTGCTCCTAGGCTCTTTGCTCCTCTCCCCTTCCAATCCATTTTTACCTAACTTCCCTTCCCACCCTTAAGTCACTCCCTGTTGCCCTCCTTGTCTGGTCACTCAGGAGCTGGTTTCTTTTTTTCTCATGTTTACCGATAGGCTAAGAGAAAGCAAACATAATCCTTGTTCCTCTCAGCAACTGTAACTCAGACAACTTTCCTTGAAGGCCTTTCCAGCTAATTATTATCAGGCCCAGATCCTTGCTGCTGATATTTTGGCCTTTACTCTGTTCATGCGTTCTCAAGGAAATTCACACCTGACTCATTCTTTCCAGTCTTAACCTTTGGCCTTATTCATGGAGATGCAGAGATAAAAACAGTCCCTGCCCTCTAGGAGTTTGTGTTCTGGTAGGGGAAATAAGTGTCTAATTAGGTATATATAGGATATATGAAAAGTAGATGCAAGGTAACCTCACAGGGAAAGACTAGCAGCTGGGAGCATTGAGAAAACCCACTTCCTTTTCCCTGCTGGATAGAAATGCTCTTGACTTGTGGGCTCGTTTTCTATCTTCCTGCTTTACTGGCACTATTGTCTCCATTTGCTGATTCTCTGGGATTTTCTAAGTAAACCACAAAATATCTTTTTATCTCTTCTTTGCCTGTTTTTAAGCCTTTTTATTTCTCTGGTCTTAACCACTAATACTAGCATTTCTAAAACTCAACACTGGGCGGGGGAAAGCATCTTTATTTTATTCTTATATTTGTTGGGGAATGGGTTTCTCCATTTCATTATAATGCTAACTTTTTGTGTATTTGTCTTCTCAGCATCTAGCACAGTGCCTTGCTCAGTAGGCTCTCAGTCAGCACTTGATGTTTACTGAATTAAATTGAAATGAGGAGCTATAGCTTCTACTTAAATTTATTCCCGTCTAGTTCTAAAATCTTGATAAATGATCATTTAAGTTAATTTATCATTTGGACATTGTTTCATTTTAGCTTGCCTCAAAATAGCAAGAGTTCCCTTGTTTCCTGCATTGAGCAGATTAAATACTGGTTCAGATAGTAAATTTTCTTGTAGGAATTCCAGTGCACAAACATTAATTGCCTAATGTGTGCAGATCCCTTGACCAGGTGCTGAGAGAGAGGGTAAGTTGGTGTTGCCCACAAAGTCCTGCCTCAGTGTTTCATCCTAGCATAGAAATGAACCTCACTCTTCAAAACTCTGGCAGCTTATGTTGAAATACCCATTGAATCTTAAGGTCTTGGAAAGATTCTAGTTATGGTCCTGTTATGGTCAATAATGATCTCCCCACATACCCAAACCTCACTCATTCTGGCAGTATGTAGAATGTGGTATAACAGTGTAAACTTGAGTAAGGGGTGTTTCATTCTTGTATTTGTATTCTCATCCCCTAGGACATTCCCTAGCATTTAATAAATTCTCTACATCCTTAGAGTCTTTACATTTGTGTAATTCTAATTTTATTTGTGAAAGCTTTCTATCCCTTTACAGCCAAGAGATGGGGTTTGGATTTCAGGACCAGGGCTTAAAATACAAGAATGAAAGATCCTGGCAGGTTTGGAATTTACTTAACAAATGTTGGAAGAATTTGCCTGGTATCTTCCAAATCTGGGCCAAATTCAGGAAATAAATTTGATCTTATAGGCACATCACTGAAATTTGATAGGATGAAAGACTGGAAAATGTAATGCTGAGCCACTGCTGGTGATAGTCTGAAGGTCGTGGAGAGTGGGAGACACTGCAGAATGAGAAGTGCCCTGATTTTTTACTAAGGGAAGTGAACAGACTGCAAACTCAGAGCAGTGCATTTGATTTCTGGGAGAATTTTAGAACAGATCATTAAAGAGATGGTTGGTAAAGATCTAGTCAAGGAAGCAGTGATTACAAAGAACCCTGCACGACTTCATTAAGAACAGATCAAGCCAGACAACCTCATCTCTTTTTTTTGAGTTACTGAACTTAGACTTGGTGGCTAACTTGTCAGGGATATTCATTCTGTCAACATAATTTTCCTGGAGTTTGGCTAAGTATTTGCTAAAGTCTGCGTATCATTCTTGTGAGAAGTGTGGAGAGATGTGGAGAAGATGATAGTATAATTAGATGGATTCAGAACTGGTTGAAAGGTCAGACCCAGTGATCATCAGTAGCTCGATGACAGCTTGGCTTGAGAGACCTCCATGCCCCAGTTATCTGTACTTAGCCCTGAGCAGTTTTAACATTTTTGCCAATAAGTTGGATAAAATTACAAATGACACACTTATCAAATTTGTAGGTGGGCTAAAAAACTAGGGGTACAGGTAACACCAGCAGATGGCAAGATCCAAGAAGATCTCAGCAGCCTAGAGCACTGACTTGAATCTCTAAGGAGGTAACATTCAATAGGAATAAATATATAACCTTACACTTGAGTTTTAAAAAAAAAATCAACTTAGCAAGTACAAGGTGACTAGGTATCAGTTCTTCTGATGAAGATCCAGAGGTCTTAGTTGACCCCCATTATGAGTCAACAGCCACGTGCTGTGGCAGCCAGCAAAGCTAGTGGGGTCCTGGGCTGCTGTCACAGAAGCAGAGTTTCTAGGAATCGGGAGGGGATAATCCCACAGTACCCCACCCTGGTCAAAACCACATCTGGAGCATGCTCTTAAATGAATACATTCTATTCTGGGTACTCTGTTTAGGAAAAAGTATCAATAAGCTAGAAAGCCTCCAGAAGAGAGCAACTGGTATGATAAAAATCACATCTTCCTAAGGTTCCTAGCATTCCTTTAGCAAGTAGTTGCTTGGAACCATGGCCAGAATAACAGTTTCCTTCATCACTTCCTCAGCCTTCAGGAAAAAGGAAATTATCAGAGAAGGTCAAGAGTTTATTTGGTTTGGGAATCAATAGCAGATTTCTGGATAATCAGAGTCTTCCCTATCATTGCTCAGTACAGAATTACTCTTTTTCCTCCATTGATCCTTAGCCAAATGTCCTCCTGCTTGCCCCTGAGCAAGATTATTTGTTGAATACACACTCACCTGTTAATAAGTGACCTTTTTTTACTGGCCTACAACCATAAGGAAAGGAAGCATGGAGGGCTAAAGCCATGAATTTCCAGCCATGGCTCTTCCCAATTCCCAGAGAAATGAAAAGAAGTCTATATTACCTTCACTACTAGGGTGATGATTCTCTACTTGGTATGATTCAACATTTATTAGATGCCTACTATGCATAAGGTACCACACAAGGTTCTGGAAATACAAAGATGAAAAATAGCACAGTCCTTACCTTCAAAGGACCTTACACTCCTGTTAGAAGGAATGGCTAGCACACCTACAAATAAATTGTATTTGAAGTCAATTCTCCTATGAGACATATCACCAGGCTATGCAAAATGACAATAAAAACCATGAGGCAAATGGAGAAAAAGGGGGTTAGAAGCACAACACTCAAAACTTCATCACTGACACATTATAAAAACATAGGCACCAAATAAAAACAGCATGGTTTCATACATGTTAAATGGTTATTAAAAATACTTTAAAAACTACAATAAATAGTCTGTAGCCTCAGGTGGCCACTCAGCCTCCACCCTGGTTCCCACAGGGCCTAAGGTGGCAAAGTAAAGTCACTTTTGGGCCTCTGCCATTACAGAGAATGAGGCAAGGGGAGAAGCAAGCCAGTTTTCCTTAGCCCACAGCTCCTGCTCCATCAGATAGATAATGAATATGATGCTTTACTTTGAAAAGGACCTGAAGTTTGCTTTTGAAAGTGGGCATCGGAAGGGCTTTAGCTTATGTTTTATTATGAAATGGTACAGTTTTCTTCTGTGTTTTGCTGTTTCAAGGATGTTCATAAGCAAACACAAAATTTACAATATGTTCCAATCGTTCCCTAATACATCAATCACGTTGGGACAAATTCACATTTTCAAAATAAGCATTATAGCAGAACCTTGGATTCATGCTTCTTCCATACAAGTTACAAACTGCTGTCTGGGTGGGCCTTCTCCATCTTGTACTTTTGACATGGATTTTCAGCCCAACTCATATCTCTATCTAGTTCCATCTTATTAGATTCAGCCCAATGTTTTATACTACAAAGGTATTTTTGAATCCCGACTCTGTCGTCCAGGACTTAGTCATCCTCTTAGCTTAGTGTCATCTATGTATTTGATATGCATATCATCTATGCTTTTATCCAGATCACTGACAAAACTATTAAGTAGCACACAGTTAAGAGCAGAGATCTTGGGCATTCCATTGGGGTCAGCGCAGCCATGGAACCATTAACAACTATTCTTAGGATCCAGCCATTCAACAACTCTGAATCTACCTAACTATACCTAAACTGTACATAACTAACCTAGCCCATATCTCAGCTTTTTCCACAATTAAGTAAAAAAGCATATGTAACATGTGGGAAACAAAATATAACAGAAAAACATTTCTTAAGTTATCTAAAACAAAAGAATGGGACAAAGGAAATTGTCCCTATGACAAACAGATCAGAAAACTTAGAGCAAGATAAAGAAAAAGCTGAGCCTTTCTTAATGTGCATGATTTTTTAAAAAAAATTTCATTTATGAAAAAGTTCAGCTTTTTCAGATTATTTGGAATTATTTGGAATGAATATCATTTGTAATGGGAATAAATGGAAACCCAACTCATGTGAATCAAAGAGTATAATACTGAGAAAAGATGGATATGTTCAAATCATCAAGTCCTAGTGACATCCCTCTTAGTGTCCTTAAGAAATCAGTGAATATTGCTATAGATACACTGACTGAGGAATATTTGGAAGGTCAAGAGAAGTACCTGAAGCCTGGAAAACATCAACTGTCAAGTCTATCTTAGTGATACAAGGAAAAGAATATGGGTTCTGGTGCTTAGTCTGCCACTGATTTAATTACTACAGGGTACCTTCTGTATATTGTCTATTGATATGGGGAAATACAACCACTCTTAACAGTCTCCCAGGGTTGTTTTAAAGATCAGATGGTTGTGAAAATGAATTGAAAATATGGCATTTACAAATATAAACTTATACACTAGTCAAAAACCTTCTGTCATGCAAAAAGATACTAGGAAAATCCACCAAAAAGAACATGTTATTAGAGAACAATCAACAGTAGTTTAAGCTAATTAGCCAATTATGTCTGCTGGAATTAATCTTACTAACTCACTGGTTCAACAACTTTAATTTGTCCTGTAAATAGGGACAAAGGGAAGGAAATAAATGGTTCAGGATGGCTTTTCAGTTTGTTCCACACGTTCATCAACAAAACGGAAAAATGTCAGGCCATATTACTGTTAAATGCTGCGCAACTGTCTGAGATCACAACCAAAGAGTGATTGCTAATGGTTAAGTGTTATGAGCTCTTCATATTTAATAATATTACCATCATTTAAGATAAGTCCAAAAAACAGGTAAGACTAGAACGAAGAAATTTAAAATGTGTTCATTAAGTTGGCAAGTGACACTAAATTGGGCAAAGGTTACTTTGGAATGGTGAAATAAAATGAAAACAACCCTGATAACTTAGAGCAGTGTCTGTCAAAATCATGACAAAACTCAGTAGAGTCAAGGAAGAAAACAAACATCTACTAAGCCCCTGTTTGTGCCAGACATGCTAAGTGTGTTACAAGTGTCCCATCTGATCCTCACGACAACCCTGAGGGGTGGGTGGTATTATTGTCCCCACTTGACAGAAGAGGAGACTGAGGCTGAGAGAGCTTCAATGATTTGCCCGGGTCACACAGCTAGGAAACGTCTGAGGTTGATGCAGGCCTCCTGACTCCTCACTCAGCACCCTATCCACTCTGCTGCCTGGCTGCCTCCCAGTGAAGGGAAGTTTATATAGCATGGAGAACATACATATAGGTAAAGCAGATGGAAAGAGAGAGAACTGGATATGAACAAGTGTATCCAGAAATGTCTTATGGATCAAATCTGGACACAGGTTAAATATGATTGTTTATATACATGAGCCACAAGACCCTGTGTGCTATAGTAGACAAATCACTGGCCTGAGGAGCCGGAGGCTTCTTTGTGACTTTCAGCGTTGATACTGCCTAGCCACGGGACTGTGAACAAACCACTCTTTACCTCTCATTGTTCCTCACTGCACATAGGGGACATGACTAGGAGCAGACAGTCAACTTAGCAAGAAGGAGGAGTTCTTTGTTCCAGCTTTGAAGGTCTCTGCCTATATGGGGTGTGAACATCTCCAGTGTGACTTGCATATGATGCTCTGGTCCATCTCGATGGTTATTGAATTATGATCAGTCCACTTAGGATGATTATAAACCTGGGCCAAACCCTTGATTTGCCCTGTCAAAAGCAACAGACAGACATGGCAGAGAGATCAAAGAACCAAAGCCAAGCTAGGATGTGGGCAAGAGGTGTGAGAGAAACTCTTCACAGAGAGTGAGGCTTGGGTCCACATAGTCTGCAGGGAACCTCTCAGCCTCAGACAGGGTAGCAGTGGATAGGAAATAGCAGCAGTGAAGGAATTCCCAGAGGAAAAGGCATTTGGCCCTAGGGATAGCAGCAGGGGGATAGCAGTGGAACGAGAAGAGCTCTTGGACCAAACCTCCTCAACAGCACCAAGTTCCTGGTCCAAAGCAGGGTAGTTCCAAGGCCAAGAAGGAATGGCCTTCTGTCTACTGGCAAGAAGGAATGACAATAGACAGCTACAATATGGTGCAACAAACTTACACTTTACCTTTGATTACTACTTTGAACTCTGCAGATGGCACTGGTCCTGTAATAAGAGAGATGACTCTAGCAACCCCAAGAGCATTTTCCTTCTGGGAAATTCTCAAATCAGTAAAAAGGGGTATATTTGTTATACCTAGTCCATAGGGTTGCTGTGAAAGCACTAAGCAAATGTTATAAATATTCTATAAATATGAGGGGAAATAGGGGAAAAACAAGAATTAAATGGAGAAAGTTTAGTTCAAATGTAAGGAAGATAAAGAAGTGTGTAATCCATATATATATATATATATATATATATATATATATATATATATATATATATATATATATATACACACACACACACACACACACATATATGTAAAAATATGATCTTGGATGGTTTATACATTTATCTATTTGGAGGTAGGGGGGTTAGATTTAACATCAAATTTCCTTCTGGATTAAGTTCTTTGACTTATTTAAAGTAATATCAGATGAAACTAGGACTCAGATTTCCTACCACTCTATCATCAATATGTGATTTAAAAAAAAAAATTCCTTGCCTAGCTCTTATTCAGAAAGCAGTAGAGTGATGCAGAAAGTAGCAGGGTTACACTGAAGAGTACTGAAACTACCCTTTTTAGTTAAAAATAGCTGAAAAGGAGAAGACTAATACAACTTGATTTTGTGGTAAATACAATAGAATTTGGGGAGTAAGGGTGGCAAAAAGAGGAAGAATTATTACATCACATTGAGTACTTTTTTTAAGAAAAGATGACAAAACATTTGTTCTAAAGCTGCTGATCACTCATTTTGTATGTTAAAAAAAAAGTTACTTAATGTAGATTTAAAACATTCAAAGGCTTCCAAATCTGTCACTATTGTTTTTGTAAGCAGTCTTTCCTAATCCTGTTATTAAAAAAAAAAGCCATTTGTAGTGCCCATAAGTGTCTCTTTTTAGACTACAAACCAAAGATTTTTCCTTTTGAAAGTTTTGCCCACTTTATTGATCTAACCAAATGAGCTGTCAGCTATGGTTAGTTACCTCTCAGCTGACAAATGGACTCTAGGGAGTGATATAATCTCTTTTTGGACACTTTGGTTCCAATACATATATAGCATAGAAGGGCATGTAAAGTATTTGGCATTTTCACACACAGTGTTCCCTGTTCTTATTGGAGTATCTATTTTAAATCAATTTATACATTTACTATATTAAACATGTTTTAAAAAGACAAACTGAGTTCACAAGGAAAACATCTATATTGAAACCATTATTAAAACTAAAAATTTCTGATGTGATTATTTTTCAATAAACAATTCTTATAAAGTATCACAAACACAGAATAAGAAAATATGGCATTATTCCCAAATTTTGGCGACAATTTTTCCAGAAGTACACAATGCACCACCACCTCACACTCTCCTTCCAAAAAAACCAGGCTGGATAACATCTGTTTGATTTATATACTGTGACTTTTTCCTGGTGTTTTCTATCAACCTTAATTGTGAAAAATGGTGCCACGTTGCCCTCTTGATATTATTTTGGAGATCAGTTAGGTCTTAAAGCATCCAGATGCGTACAGTTCTACACATATCTGTGGAATTAGCTCACTAAGGTCTGTTTGGCCATATTTTTAATTGACTCACATGTTCTGTGGGAAAAGGAGAATCATAAAAAGTCTTTGCAATCGCATTCCACTCTTCCCTGGGATCTCTCTTGGGACTTGGCTGGATACTTGAATTAGTCCAAGTGTCAGCCTCTCTGTTAATGCTGGTAGTATCTGATTGACAAAAAGGAAATGACAACTGCATTTTATTCTCTAGACACTCATTTTAGTGACTGAACTTCTGGTTTATCTCTGATCATATGCTTTAAAAAAATAATCAGATTTCTATTTTATTTTTGCTATGAATACTTTACTGTTTTCCTATACTTTGATCTTCTACTATGGCATTTCATTTAGGAAGACAAGCAGAGAGAAAGATGTTCAAGACTAGGCCTTTCTAAAACCTGCTGATTACTATCCATTAACAATTTAAAGATATAGAGGCTATCACAAATAATACCAATAAATACAACTGAAATAAAATTAAGGTGATATCTTCTGAAACAATGTAACACATAAAAATGTTATCTTTACTTCTATGGATCACTTCCTTGCCTACACAAGCAAACTCTAACATCAGGGGGTATTTTTGGTTTTTGAATATACACTAATTCAAACTAACCAGGGAGAAGGCAAATAGAATTAGTGGACAGTTGAAATTTTCATATAGAACATGTTTAAAGATATGCAGTCCTATTAATTTGGAGCACATACAGCAATTAATAAATACAGTCTAGTAAGGCTGATTGGAAATGATAGTGTTTGAACATACCACTGGAACCACAAATCCCGGAAGTACTGAAAAAAGACAGTAAACAATCCACTGTCTAGAAAAGGTCCTTAGGTTTTAATGAACAGATACAAATATTTTATAATTAGCTTATTGATGTGATACCATTAGGTAAATGTTTTTTAAAAAATGAAGGTATTTTGAAAAGTGATTCTCAACAATAGTTTAAACATTCTCACCTTAATCTATTTAAAACTTAATGTGAATTATGAAGAATTTGTAAGGAAGGTACAGTTTGGCTCAGCTCCTGTCCCAGTTTTCACAAATTCCAAATTCATGAAATAATCCAAATTAATAATTACTGTTTAGAAATAACCCTACTCTGAAAAAACAAATATTGAGTTTGTTTTGGCAAACTTTATTTTCAATAGTAGTTTCTACTTTTCCTGTTGAGAAAATGGGGGTCAGGACTCTAGTACCTGGATTCCAATCCAGGCACTCACTTCTTAGCTATATGACTTCAGGCAATTCACTTTATTTCTTTAACCTACTACCTCATCTGTAAAATAGGAATAAAACTCCTTGTGCTAGCTACCTTATAGGCATGTTGTGAGGAAAGTGATTTTCAGACTGTAAAGTGCTATATAAATATGAGCCGTTATTCTCCCCCATGTAATATGGGATAAACCATGCAAAAATCAGCATTTTTAGATGAATGTAACTGGTCCATTAAAATACATGATAAATGACCCCTAGAATAATATCATGCTGTCCCACAGTCACTTAGCCAATTAATTGTGTAAAATAAGAACTGAATACTTAACTTCATATCTCTTCCATGTAACATTGTCTCACCCAACACTGTGCTTTGCCAAAACCAATGAATGACATTAATACATGCAAAGCACAGTGCCCGGCACATAGTAGGTGTTTAACCAATGCATGTTAATGTGACTTGGCATTAGCTATGATATGCCTGAATATAAATTATGTTGATGAAACCATATAATTTAAATAGAAAAACTATTTTTCTTTTCAATTTTACAGTCTCCTTTAGAAAAGGGGCAGCTAGGTGGTGCAGTGGATACAGCACCAGCCCTCAGGTCAGGAGGACCTGAGGTCAAATCCAGTCTCAGACCAGACACTTGACACTTACTAGCTGTGTGACCCTGGGCAAGTCACTTAACCCCAACTGCCTAAAAAAAAAACCAACAAACAAGAAGTCCATATCCTTTCAGCCTGAAAGCATCAGAGAACCATTTTTAGAATCGACACTCCCTTAACTAGATAAATGCATTTTGCCAAAATGGTACAATTCACTCAGGAGCTAATCCTGCTAAACTCTAGCGTGAGATTACCAAGGAAAAAATAAAGAGGATTTTCCTCATGATTATGTGATATTTAGAACTATAGCATAATTATCATGAATATTTATAAAACATCCATTGTTCATAACATAATAAACAATGTATTGTTTTCATAAGCTGTATTTCAAAAGTTTATCATTTAAAAATCTATAACTTTTCAAATTATAATTTTAGCATCATACAATGGATCACAGAATTTGAGAGTCGGAAGGGCTCTAGCTGGACATCTAGTCCAACCCATACAGATTCAGCAAGTGATTGTTGAACTTAAAGAGCTCCAAGGAGAGGTGCCTTGGCCCTCCTGAGGCTGCCCATCCCCCTCCGGAGCAGCTCTCCTCGGTAGGCAATCTTTCCTGACCCCGAGCCTGAATTTTCTTCTTTCTGAAGAAGCTGAGTGTCAGCCACTGTGCTAAGCAATGGGGATACAAAGAAAGGTGAGAACACAAACACGGTCCCTGCCTACAAGGAACTCACGTTCTACAGGGGGGGATATCATGTGAACAATTTTGTCAATGCAAGACCTGCACAAGAATAAATGGTAGATAACCACTGGCGAAGGAAAGGCCTCCTGTAGAAGGTGAGATCTGAGCTGAGTTAAAGGAAGCCAGAAGGTAGAGGTGAGAAGGAAGGGCATTCTAGGCATGCAGCTTGGAGATGGAGTGCTGTGTGTGAGGACAGGCAAGCAGACCAGTGTAGCTGTATTGTTGTATACATGGAGAGAAGTAAACTAGAAGTCTCAGAAGGTAGAAAAGGTTGAGGCTGTTAAGGGTTTTAAATATGAAATAGTGGATTTTATACGTAAAGTAAAATGACAAGGGGGCAGACTTGTTGGGAGCTCCCAGTAAGGCTCTCATCACCTCCCACCGAGATGATTACCAACAGTCTTTCAATAGGTTTCCCTGCCTCCAGTCTTTCCCTTTCCTCCTCCTGCCATTACCCTCCATTCTCCACTGAGCTGCCAAGGTGTTATCTTCCTGAAGTCTAGGAATTGACCCAGCAATGCCTGCACAGCCCTGATGTCCTTTCATTCTCCAGAGAGCCCTCTTGAAGTTCCTAGTATGGCTGTTGCTTCCCTGTAGGGTCTGGTGTCTCATGTGGACAGGTTAAAACACTGCAGGGCTGAGCCTGGCAGATCACTTGGTCTCTAAGCTGCTGCCAGACTGGACCAAGCCCACATCTTGCTCCTGAGCTCTTCTCTTACAGGACATAGTGAATCTGCTGCTTGAGCCGGTTTGCTAGGTTCCCTGGGTTTGCCTCAGTTGGCTGGTACTGAGCTCTCTTCAGCTGCAATGTTACAGTGTTCTTTTCATCTCAAAAGCAACTCTTTTTTCACGTAGGCCAACACTCAATCCTTAGCCTAGGATGAACAGAAGATGCTCCTCTTAGAGTCCCTCAGAGGCTCAGCACTGAGGCTAGTCACCCAGCAGAAGGTGGAGTAGGTCTAGGCTCTCCCCTTGGACAGCCTTTCCTGGTTCAGTGTTAGTTTCCTCAGCCAGGGACTTTCTTAGCTTATGGTGAGCTAACCCTTCCCAGACTCCTGGAGCATTTTGTAGATGAGAGGCAAAGGTATGAATGTATTCATTTGAACTTGAATGCAAGTTCGTTGTCTCAACAGCCTTTTCATATACAATAGAACAAGCCTCAGGCCCCTAAGGTGTGAAATGTTTATTTTATATCGCTCCCCCTTTATATTTCAATGTCTCTGTCTTTTAGCCTCTCACTACCTTTTGCTAAGTATAAAGAAATATCACATTTAGTAGGTTTCTCTCTTTTCTCACAAATTTGCACAGTGTTTGTTTTTTTTAAAAACAGGCTTATTGATATCTTTTGTTTTTACATCACCCATATTTCCCAATGTATCTCTCCTTTCCCACCTCACAGAGAGCCATCCCTTATAAGAAAGAAGAAAAAAAAGGGAAAAAACAGTTCAGCAAAACTTAACAAGATGTCAAAGAAGTCTTATATTATGTACAGTCTTCTACACTCATAGTTTCCCCGTCCTTTAACTCTAAAAAAAAAATAGGATGAGGTTACACATATATTTCAATGAAGGACTTTGCCTTTTTTTAAAAAGAGCGACTTCATTATAATTTTTATCTTGCCCATTTTTCTTTTTAGAGAGAAATTATTTACTAAAATTTTCTAAATGCAATTTTACTTCCTTTTCCAAGCTGATGGTGTTGGTCCAGGTTTGCTGCTAAAGGAAAAAGATAAGTCTTCATGTAAATGTAACTTTCTCTACCTTTTAATTAAGCTTAAGGAAAAATATCCCAAGTTTCATAAATTAATTGAAACGATCTTTCTTAGAAAAAGCAGACCAAAAGATCTGCAACATAACCATAATTCTAAGTCAAATAATTTTTCCTCTTACCCATTCTTATTTCCCTCATGACAGCATCCAGGCCAAGATTTTGACAAAGTGTCTTTGAAGGAATCTTTTTATTTTCTGATGAATCCACCAGTTTCTCTTTTAGCAACAAAGGCACCTTGGAAGCCAAAGTGTTCATTGTTTGACTTTCAACTTGATTTACTTTTGGCCAAGGACAAGGGTCTAAAAAATTTAAGTATACTGGAGTTTTCTCAGTTTCTTTATCTGAAGTTGAAAGATCAAAGGCTGACCTTCCACTTCTGTTTACTAAATCTCCAGATGGCTTTATGTGAAACGAGCATGATTCTTCCAGCTGTCCTTCACTATATTTTCTTTCTGAATCTGTGTTACTTAATGAGTCTGTTTTCTCTCTTGTACTGTTTAACAGTGTCTGCTGCTGTGCCTTAACATGACTAACAAGGAAGAGGTCGTTTTTTGCTATGGATTTGTCCTTAGCTTCACTCATCTGAGTATCATTCACTTGACTCTCTTTGCTGGAAAGACTTACGGTGCCTGTGGTGGTTTTCCTGGTAGTAACCTTTTGAACAGTACTTTCCACATCTTTGGCCTGTGAAACATCTATATTGTGAGAGTTAACTTGAAAACGACAAATGGTCACATTTTCATCACCTTCTACCTGCTTAGGATCATCCTGTTTGGGTTGATGGCTCTGTATTTCATTCAAGTTTTTCCAACAAACTATTTCCCTCAGACTTGGGGTGGCTTTTCCTGAGACAGGCATCATATTAAAGGATTTTTTGGGGCTTTCACAATACACTTTCCTATTATCATTTAAGGCAGCAAGTGAATTTGGGTTATTAATTGTTGTACCACAGGTACTACTTAGGTCCATTTCCCCCAATGTATCACATGTCTCTTGAGCATAAGAACAAGTTTGCTTATGTTGTGGACCATCACAGTCTCTTTTATACAATAGATGTGTTTCATTTGATTTATACTCTTTATAATCTGAGACACAATAACTGGAATTCCTTGAGCTGTCCATCAGACACGCAATAGAATTATCTTTGGCAATTAGGGACGGATTCAATTCAGCTTCTTTGAGGCCATTATTTGGAATTTCTTCATTTACAGAGTTTTCTTCAGTGCCAAGACTCATTCTGGATACTTGTTTGGATGTTTCAATCCCAGAAACATCTTTACCACACTGTACATTACTCATGTCATGATTGGTATCTGGAAGTTTTTCCTGGACAGGCTTGCTATGACCAGTTTCTGAAGCCACATTTGCACTGTGGAGATTGAACTCTTGAGTTCTGTCTTGAAGACTCCTCCCTGTTTCCACTGATATTTCTATCGAGTAAGGATCATTCAGTGTCTGAAATTCCACACAACCAAAACCTCTTTCTAAGCACATTTTGTCTTTTGTTTGTGTGGCTTCTGCATTTCTCAAGTCAGCAGTGCCTGCTCGCCAGGTCTGCCCTTGACACAGTAAATCTTTATCTGGACTGAAAGCTTTGCTTTGGGAGCTTTTAACTAGTTTTTCTTCAGAGAGTTCTTCAGTTTTTCTTTCTTTAGTAAGATGAATTTTTTTCTCATTGTTTTCCAAAAACTGTAATTCTGCCATAAAGAGAATATACAAAACAGAAGTCAATAAAAGAATGCCTGGTTTTGTTTTTTTGTTTTGTTTTGTTTTTTGTCAAATTTAGTTTTAGATGCTATTTCACTAATCAGTAGAACTCAAACGTAATTATATCAATGTCATTTAAATACAAAAAATGATTTTAAATTTATTGACATTATCTAAATAGAGAATGGCAGTTTCTTCACATGCAAAAAATGGACAATAATACCTAGAGTAACTGGTCATGAGGCTTTAGTAAGATAATAAATGCAAAATGTTTTGCAAATTTTAAGACAGTATATAAAACTTCAGTTATTACTATAGGACTTCCCTGGGCCTCAGTTTCCCCATCCAAAAAATGTAGGGGTTGGACTAGACAACTTCTGAGGTTCCTTCTATCTTTAATTCTGTAATCTATATAAGAGACACAACATGCTAAAGAAAAAAAACCAGAAATGAACAAGGTAAAGATATTTAATGCTACTCAAACTGACTTGTAAGCATAATTACAGAAACAGTTTTGGTTGAGAAAAGTACTCATATGTAACCTTATATTAAAAGAAGTAATTAAATTATTTAATTAATACATAAGATTGACTTCTCTAGACCATTATTTCTTTTCATGTGTACAGTACAATTCTAGGCATTAACTGATTACTAAAAGGCTAATTTGTTTGATGGGTTTTACTCTAATCTCCAGCACTAGCCAGGTTTTTCAAACCTAGGACTGTGCATAGTTCAAAGTTGTCAAATGCCTTCTTGAGATCAGAAATTTCCATTTTTTTACTATCTTAATCTTTCAAACATTAGGAATGGTTTCATCACATAAAACTAGTTGGTTTGCACAAATTGAGTAAAAATATCTAAAATCAGAGGAATCAATGATAAATCTGCTCATTTTTGCTCAACTAAGCACAGATTACAAATTATGAGTCTTGGATTTACCATTCAGAAAAACATCAGTACCTAAAGTTGTCATGTGTTGTTTTGTTTTGTTTTTAAATTTCTCTAATTGAACGGCTTTTGGCTTCTACTACTATCTGCTCTAAGAACTTAGGCTAAATGAAATGATGCCATCAACCACAAAACCTATGAGTTCTTCAAAATGTTTCTCACATAGATCTCTTGCTTTCTTCTTCTTCTTTTCTTTTTTTCTTCTTCTACTGCTGCCGCTGCTGCTGCTACTACTACTACTACTACTACTACTACTACTACTACTACTACTACTACTACTACTTTGTTTCAGGAGCTCATCCTGTCATACCCTTATTGTAAAGGTCTAATAACTAGTTTCCTTGCCTCTGATTTCTCTCTTCCACAATGCATACTGTAAATCACTGCCAAATTGGTTTTTATAAAACAGTGCTCAAAAATCTTTAGTGGTTCCCCACTAGCTTCGGAATAAAGTCTGAATGCCCAGCTTGACCTTCTGCAATCTGACCCAAATTTATCTTTATAGCATGACATTTGGCTACTCCCCTACATAAATCCTCTTATCCAGCCCAGTTGGCTTATTCATTAAACTCCCCAAACATACAACCTATTTTCCAATCTCCATGCCTTTGTTCAGACTGTTTCCCTCTTTAATAGGGCCTTTTGTCTTCCTCTCCAACTATTTAAATCTCACCCATCCATCAGAGCCCATCTCATATTCTGCCATCTCTATGAAGCTTCCTTGATTAGCCCTGTCTAAAATTAGTGATTCCTTATCTGAACTTCTATATATATAGTACTTCAGCTCTAAACACCTCATTTGGTCTTCTATTATTGACTGTCTACCTTGTAACTTTTAGTTCAAACACTTTATCTTCCCAACTGGAATGTAAGAGTGTTGAGGGAAGGAACCATAGTTTATAGTTCTTTGTTGTCTCCCCAGAAGTAAAAGAGTGATCTCAGCATGCAAATATGAAACTATTAGTTCAATAATATTATTACCTTCTGAATTTCTCTCTTGGTCTTGGTTATTTTTTCCTATTAGTGTATATTCAATGTTTGAACAAAAATTCATGGTATTTATTGCAGTTATTTCTTGCTGAGGATTCCATTCTTTACCATTCTGATATAAAATAGAAAAAATGGTTTGAAATTTAAAAAAAATTATAAGAACATATAGTATATTTATTTTACTATGAGACTAGACTTAACTGAACGAAGTGGGATTTCAAATTAGTAGTTCACATTTGTCTTTCTTTTCTTTAATCTTTCAAAGGACAAATGTTTTTGACGAAAGTTGGTACACTTACTATGGTCATCACAGGGTATTCAAATGGGCAAATTAGTTCTATATTTCACCTAACTACTAACTAGTATGTTAAGGGCTAGGCATTATATTGTATTGTTTGAATATTAGCATCTTAGTAATAATTTTATGACTGCCAATTCTCAAAAGATTAAAATAATTGCCCAATTATTTGGTCACATGTACTATTCTACATTTCTTTCTATAAGCAAAGAGACATTCATGCTAGAATTACTTGCAATCAGCCACTTTCAAGTTTTGTGATCTTCATGAATAATAATGATTTGGCAATGATAACTTAAGAAGTAAATATTTTAAGAAGCCCAACTTTATGAAAATCATGTAAAAATGACTTACAAAACAAAGTAGGAGTAATCATTTACATGACCAAATAATTCACAAAAAATCACAGTCTCTAAGAACTGGAAGAGACCTCAAAGGTCACCTAATCAAAGCTGAACCTCTACCGGACTCTCCTTCACAGCACCCAGAACAGGTACCCCCAAAGATGATATATTCATTTGTAGATGGCCCTAATTGTTAGGAAGTTTTTCTTTAGATTCTGAGCCCAAATCTTCCTCTTTGTAACTATCGTCTACAACCCTCAGTTCTCCCCTCTGAGGCTCACTAAAGGAAATCTAATTCTTCTTCCACATAACGTTTTCAAACCCTTGAAGACAATCATTTCCCTGGTTCCAGAGTCTTCTCTAGGCTGAGCTACCTTTTAATTGATATGAAGATATGGCATGGTTTTAAGAGACTTCATCATACTGGTCCCCCTATCTGGATGGCTCCAGCTTGCCAATAACCTTTGCAAAATGAGGCACCCCAAACAAAGCACACTATTCTAGATGTGATCTGGTGAGAGTAAAGCATAGTGGAAGTATCATCTATGATCTGGACAACACTATGCCTCTCTTAATGCAGCCTAAGCTCACATTGGTTTTCTGGGTTGACATTTTGCACTGTTGGCACATTTTGAGTTTTTCATCCCTTAAATACCCTAGATCTTTTTCGTATAAACTGTTGCCTAACCATGCTTCCCCTATCTTGTGAAGTAGATTTTTTTTTTTTAGGCAATTGGGGTTAAGTGACTTGCCTAGGTCACACAGCTAGTAAGTGTCAAGTGTTTGGTCTGAGGCCGGATTTGAACTCAGGTCCTCCTGACTTCAGGGCAGACGCTCTATCCACTGCGCCACCTACCTGCCCCTGAAGTAGATTTTTTTGAACCACAGTCAGGAACTTTACCTCTTAATTAATTTCATGCTACCAGACTCAGCTCACTGTTTCAGACCAAAGAGTAGATCCACTGTGTTTACCATCCACTGTGTTTACCATCCCTCTCACCTCTGTGTTACCTGAAAAACTGATGAGCATGACCCTGATTCCTCACTCTCCCTTACTGTGCAGAATCAATCAGTTACCTCCGTAGCATCTCTTGTATCTATCCCTCTTTCTCTGCTCTCATGTGGCCAACACCTTAGTTCAAGATCTACTGGCTTCTCCCCTAGACCCCTAGACCCTTACAATAGTCTTCTACTTGACCTCTCTGCCAAGTCTCTCCACTATCTCATTTCATTCTCCGCACAACTGCCAAAGACATTTTCCTAAAGCATGGTTCTGACCATGCCATTTCCCTGGTCAACAAATTCCAGTGGTTCCCTACTATCTCTAGGACCAAATATAAATTCTACTGTTGGGCTCCAACCTATCTTTCCAACTTCAGTTTACATTAGTTTTCATCACACACTCTACTGTCTAGCCAAACTGACCCCCTTAGTCTTCCTCATGCCAGACACATCATATGCTACCCAGCTTATTCAGGCTATCCACCACAACCTAGAATGCCCTCCCTCCTCAGCTCCCCTACCATATAATCTCTAGTTTCCTTCCAAGCTCACCTCAAATAGCACTTCCTACATCATGAGACCTTTCCTGATCCCCTCCCAAAATTAACATATTTGTTTTGTTTATATTTTGCATATACTTATATATGCTCATATTCCTTATGGACAGGGACTGTTTTGTTTCTGTCTCTATATCCCTAGTGCCTGGCACATAGTAGGCACTTAATAAATGCTTGTTGATTAATCTGTTTATTATCAGAATAAAGAATTTTAGTTCTTCTAACTAACTTAAATTATTATCAATCCTTATTTAACTAACTCTAACATTATAGACACTTTATTTTCCAGAGTCTAAGGCCTTTTTAGGCTATGTCATTCAGTGCTTTGGTTCCCAAAACTGCAGAACACTTCCAATATGAATGTTTACCACAGTGGTTTATAGTCTTCGTTCTATCTGGCTTGCTTTATTCATTTGTGGTTCTGCTTTTTAAAAGCCCTGGCTGCTTGTATTATCAGCAGCAACTATCAGTTTTACTTAACCCATTTCTGTATAGCGGCAGTAGTGGAAGGTACATCTTTTCCTTTGCCCATCACCCCTTTCTGTCCCCAACCTCCATTTCCATATCACTCAATAGCTCCAGCTGGCTTTTTTCCCTACACTAATGTTCTCCCATCTTTCCTTGTCCCAGTCACAATAGAAAGAAAATCAACGTGTTATACATTTATATCTACTTAAGACCCCATGATTCCTGCTTTCTAGTTGAGGCACAAGAACACCACTGACCAGTGTATTAACATAGGTAAGTACTTAAGTGCTCTTATCCACTTATTATTCTTATAGGTCCTCTTTCCCCAAAGGTTACTTTATATTCAATTGAATTTGCTTAACTAAACCGACTTTTCTCATCCCTTCCTGATGTATTCCTAGCACTGTGACTTGTGCATAGTAGTAGGCATTATATTAACAATTTATACATAATGGATCCTGTTTGCTGAATGAATAATTAGATACTTCCAACAATTTCATAACTGATTATTACTTTCCCTTAGTGGAACAAACCTGTTCTTTTTCTCAACTGAACACATTTTGAATGGACAAAACAATTCTTAAATAACTATAATGACTTTCTAATAATTATAAAACTCATCGAGCAATGGTGATGTCAAATTCTGTGATAATTTTTAAAATAATATTAATCATCTTCAAATGAAAAACAAAGGAAAACACCAGCAATTTTATTAACATTTAACAATTATGTATTTATGTGATGTTTTGGAATTTTGCTCTGCTTTTCGGTAGCAATAAATCAAATTAAACAATGAAAACGGGCAGAAATTTCATGACTGAGTATGAATTGAGGGTTTTTTTAATGATTAAAAAAATTGGTGAAATCCATAAAAAGTTATTAATTCATTGGAAACCTAATGGCAGAAGACCAGTTACTGCTCTAATTATTTTAGCTATTCGTGATCAAATATTAAAGGCTATAAAAAATGGACACACATTTTAAAAAGTTACAGTATATACAATATAGCTAAAGTAGGGGGAAATCTTCAATAATGGCTTTAATTTTTTGCATATTTATACCCACTAAAATACCTAAGTTTTACCTGAAGCTTATTATCTTGCTCAAAAAATACATTCTTCTGAGAAGATAATTCATTATAGCTTTCTTGTAATTTAAGATGAGCTTCTTTAACTGACATCAACTCATTTTTAATCTCATCTATTTCTTCAATGAGTTTTTTCTCCTATAATAAAATCATAACAAGTAAATAAGACAATTTAAGTTTTATCTGAAAGTAAGAAATATCTACTGCACTTGAGTTAACATTTAAAAATATTGATGACACCATGACATTTTGGAAAATGATCAAAAATAAAACAACTTCTAAGGAATATGAAAAAGAATTTTTGCAAAATGTAGTAAATCAAAAAGTATAAAAGTTTATTTGCACATGCTTTACTCCATTTATTTCTAAAATTTTGCAGTGCTTATTTCAAATTGCATTTAAATTAATTTACTCCAGTAAGCTAGCTGAGAAGTACTATGTGTTTGGTGGAAGTCTAGTTGAACTTAACAACTATAGCCAACATCTGTTCACACTGGTCACGAAAATTCATAAAGTTCTCTCGAGAACACCAGTTCTGCAAGAAGTAAAATACTACCCACAAGAAAGTCCCTTCTGGCAAAAAAAAAAAAAGCTTGAAATAATTCAAGGTTGACATCACTTACCTTATCAGTAATGAGCTTCTCTTTTGAACTGAACACTTTGCAAACTCACAGCACATAATGTACATTAGTTATCTGCGTATGTGTCTCATCCCCCTTTTAAAATATAAACTCTATGAAGGTAGAGACAATGAACCTACAACTTTTCTTTCACAGCGCACAGAGGGCAGTGCTCTTTATGTTTGCTGTCATTTAAATTTGTGTTTTATTCTTTCCTCATCTCTCTTTTCTCTGTTTCTTTCTCTTCCTGAATCTCTCCCTGTCTGTATCTCTGCCTCTCATTTCTTAATTTAGTTCAAGATTCATAGACTCAGGTGGATTTAAAGATTGTGTAGTTGACTTCATTCTAAAAAGGGAACTATTTTCCCACTTTGGGCTTTATGCTTGCATGACCTAAAATCCAGGTTCACTAGCCAAATACCTAGCCAAAATACAAAGTGGTACACATAACACAACTCTTTCAAGTGCTCAAGAATATTCTATACATAATTCAATTTTCTTTTTATAGAATTTGATTTAATTTTTTTGTCAACTGATTACTTGACGAAAAGTAGAACTGATCGTATAGAGCATCAATGACATAAAGCATGACTTTATTTACTCATATATTTTCTAAAACATTTTACCTGTACCTTCACAATTTTTTTTAGGCATTCCTAGATTCTCAGTCATCATCTTAGAATTAGTGAGAAACCACATGTGGATCAAAACGGAAATAAAGAATATAGAGCCTATCTCCCACTCCAAAACATTTGCTTACAGCCATGAACAAGCTTTGCCTTACTAAACTATTTTCTATTTAGTACTGAAATGCTGAGGGAGTGGGCTTAATTGTTGTTGAAGCTAGAAACTATAGGATAAAACTGATTTCTTACAATTTCTGTATGTGGGATACCATGAATAGATATGAATATTAATTTTTTTTAAACTCAGTTGACATTTTTATGCAGGTGGAATGTTTAGTACCATATTCTCTTTCTCTATTATAGCTTCCCTTCTATGGTCTCTTACTTAATACTATTTTCTGTTTATTTCTCTGAATATGCATTAACTATGATCAACAGAAATGGAAGTAAACTATGTATGTTGCTTGACATTAAAAACTAAACTTTACTAAGTGTAATGCTACTATTTTTTAAAGTGAATTTAGAAAAGATTAACAATGTAACTTACAAAAAAGGTATGAACCAACCATCTCCTTTTTATTCTAATGCAATAGTTAATTGGCAAATAACATCCTTTAAATTAATTATAATCACATCCAATTATTACTGAAAACTATGATGCTGCAACTGAATTAAAAAGCTAAAAAAAGAACTAATTGTACCAAATTTTAAGAATATCTGTCAAGCCCCACTATTTTCAATGGACATGCTCATGAAGATGCAGAGGTAAATAAGATATGGTTCCTATCCTAAAATAGATCAAATACAAAAAAGAAAAAATAACCAGGAAAAATACTGCCAAGCTGGTATACAGATAAATTAAAAAAAAAAACAAGAGAAAGGATTCATGTCTGTAACACTAATAGTCTGAAATAAAGTCTATTTACTTTCCAAAAATATTTTTTCTGTATGCTTAGAAGCAGTACGTTTTATTATATTAATCCTTAATAAAGAGAACAATTTAAATAGATATTTAAAAAGTAAAGCTAATTTTGGGGTCTACCGATCTTCAAAATGAACCTTCATATTTTACAACTTTAATTTACATGGCTTTACATCATTATTTTATTATGTACTTCACTGAAATTAAAATTAAGAGCAAAAAATCTGAGATGCAGTTTAGGAAAACAGCAAAGTCTTATGATAAGATGGTAAAACATATGAAATTCAGATACCATACACACCCTCTAAACATGGCAATCCATCATACACTGCATCATAGCTAAGGGAGAACTGAATAGCTTAGTTGCCAGTAACAGCATCTGCTAGCTATTCAAACTATTTGTTATAATATCTACTACTCAATGGTTTAATGGAAAAAGTAAGGAGATTTCTGCCTCCTGCACTATAGAAGGCCATACAGGCTTTGTGAATGTACATTTATATGTGTTTGTGTGGACAATGAATTCTTAGCTTTCCAAACTCAACAACATTAGCCAGAATTTCATTGTAATTTAGCTTTTCAAGAGCATTTCTGAAACAAAATATGTCTAAGAACACCCAGAGTATCTGATTTGGTTCTTGCATTATTTTTGCAATATAAGTAGTTAGTAGTTATTTAAAATGATTATAACTATTTCAAAATCTGTTCAGCACTGTAATACTTAGTTTAATAAACCTACATGTTTTTCCCAAGTTCCTCGTGCTTTCTCATGCTTATTTTGAAGATTAAGGAACTTTTCTTCATTTTCTTTTACCTTCTTCCTTTGCAGCTCATTATCTCTTTCAAGGGTCTGCAATAAAATTAATTATCCAAAAAATAATCAATACCACATTAATGAATTTTGATGTGTTTTATGTTGCTTGGACCTTTGCTTCTAACATGCTGAAAGGGCCATCCACAGCAGTGATAATGTGCCATCTCAACAATCATTTTCATAAATTAACAGAAAGCTGCTTATAGTTTAGCTAACAGGAAACAGGGGGAGGTTATGGAAAAGAAATGGCTATAAAAGGGTATAAAAACATTGCCATTATTCAGTTTCACTGCATAAGTTTTAATGTGCTGAAAAAGTATTATAAAGTACAGAGCTAGGAAATATGAAATGTAGCATCATCCAACTTAACTGTACTAAAATTAAAATTTTAAACTATCCCATAACATTTTTTTCATATTCAAATTACTAAAACTAAAATACTTCTTGGAATAATTTTAATTTCTCATTTTCAAATTGTTAATGGTGTTTTACAGGAGTCTAAAATTTTTATCATGTTTATTTAGCTTATTTTGATTCATGAAAGAGAATCCTATAAAAAGGCACTAAAAAGTAAAATATGCAGCCAAGGTTTTTGAAGCTATGAAACCAGTGCTAGCAACACTAGTAAGGACTCCTTGATGTCTGCCCAACTGTCACACTGATAAAGTTAATGTCTATAAATCAGCAATAAGAATTCCTTCCCATGTTTCAGGTAGGTTTGGAATGTTGAAATTGTGATACACTTTTGTCAAATAAAGACAAAAGGGTAGTGGCTATAATAACCTGATATGAATCTCTTCAGGGCCATAAGGTCCTATGTGCCTACTCGGCACTCCATGAATACTTACTAGCTAACAATCTTAACAACTTTTCATTGCATCCTTTTCAGGAGAATGTCCGATATGTATTTTTATCCAACAATGTTTTTTAGTCTTCATTTCTAGGTATAAATAATAATGGGAAAATTCTTGATCTATTTAACAATGATTTTAACAGGTGTATAATCACACCCTCACAACTACTTTACAATATGAAGGCAACATACTGCACTTTTGAAGAGAGTGGGTACATCATTATACATATGAAAATAAGAGGGACATGTGGGAGAATATACCATAGCTCCTATTTAATTAAGCAATAGTACATGACCGTATGATGTTTTAATAATAGCTAACAACCACATAGAAGATTTCAAACAGAAACATCCAAAAGTGCTTACAAATGGCATAACAGTCATTTCGCTCACAATGAAAATTCAGTTGAGTCTAGAGTCAAACCAAGGGACTTTAAAGGCAGAAGTAGCACTAACTGGCCTCCCAGGGAAAGGCAGGGCAAAGAGTCAGATAAAACAGAAACTATAGGAAACTTGTTTGGGATAGTTACCCACATGATGCTTTGTGTCATTTTGAGTCAATTTCAACTAAAAAAATGAGCATAAAGGTAGACATAAGTGGAAAACTGCCTTTTTACCTCCTAGGCTCTGGGCTCCTATTACTAGACCAGGCTATATTTCCTAGGCTTGCTATCATTCTCCTGCTGTAATATTTGTCACTGTGGGAATAGAAATCTTATGTCAGTGGATAAGAGATAGAAAGGAAGTAGCAAAAGTAATATCTGCCATCAACCCACCAGTTAGTTAGAATGCAACTAGAAATCACATTTGAAGTCATCAACAAATATACACTTTGTAAAACAAAAACAGAACTCTGATTGCAGAAATTGTTGTTACTTAACATTAAAAAAAATGGACCACCATATAAGAGATTATCTAGTCAAGATTCTTTTGTATGTGTTGATTTTGTTGATTAACCATGTGCTATACTTTGAACTGGTTTTGTTTTTTGTTGTTGTTCTTTGTTTCTTCCCTAACAGGGATAGATTTGTATTGATCTATCCACTTGCTTGTGTATCTTCCCTGGCAAGAAATGGCATTTGAAAAGTGGCTGCCAGCAGTTTGTGGCCACAGAACAGAGCTCAGCTCCTAGACCATAGAATGACCAAATCCATGCTTTGAATTTCATTAACACAATACAGTTCAATGAAGGAAGAAGATAGATGCTTAGAGCCAAACTTACAGGAAAAATCTCAAAGTGAACAGAATCACTAGTACAATTTTGTATGTTATTTCATTAGTAATTTTCCATGATAGGTATTTTCTTATTTCTACTTGTAAATGAAGGAAATTATAAATACTGTTCCCTTTCTCCAGTGTTAAAAGGGCACAGCAAAGTAAAGGTATTTGCAATCCCAGGGAGATTCTACATATAGTTCAGTGGCCATCACTGTCATTGTGGAAGTTTTAGAAACCCAGCTATCTTGTCTGAAACAAAGTATTTCCTGAAGAACTGAGCTTTTATTCAGCAGATCTAGGTTTGACCCATCTTTGCAACTTAATAGTTCTATGATCACAGACAAGTCACTTAATGTCTCAATTTTCTCATTTATAAAATGCAATAACTGCTCTACTTACCTCTCACAGGATTATTTTAAAGCTCAAATGATGTCATTAATGTGAATGTACTTTGAAATGTTGTATACAATTTATTTGTATTTTAGTATTTTAGTTGGTTCCGATGGAAAAAAGCAAATCAAACTCTATTTTTTTGACATACCTAAATACAAACTTTCCAGGTGTGCTGTGTAGGAACGATTACTGATCTCAGATTGTTCTTTTCTGCCTCATCCATATCCATATATGTTCATATATGTGTATGTATATAAATATATATGCATACAAATATACATACATATATGTGGGTCATATTCAGTGTCAGCTATGCAATTACTATGACATATGAAATTCAGAAATCAAGGTCAGAAATAATAAAGGAAAACAAAGGTTACTAAAGGAAATAATCTAATTAAGTAGTTAAGTCATTATTGTTATCTGTCTGTCTTTTTTTAAGACTATGTCATATTTGAATTTAAGATATCTTTATGAATTATTCAAGATTACTTATACTTGAATAAACCAGAAGTTAAAACAGCCTCACTTCTACTTCATATTATAATGGTCTAAACATAGCCTACTACAAGTTTCACTTAACAGCAACTAGAAGTATATTATCTTATTGAAAACTACACTTAAAAAACTTAACTATAGTAACTGCAATTAGTTACATATAGTTATATATACATATAGCATATATATATATATACACACATGTACATGGTATCTCTATAGGAACTGTAGTACATATAGTTATCTATAAACTTATAATTTAAAAACATTTTTGAGTAAAATTTTATCCATCATGGGGATTTATGTCTCAGCACTAGTAAACTGAATGGCTAAAAAAGCAAGATAGATGGCAGCATGAATACAGAGCACCAGGAAACAGTAGGCTATTATCAAGAGTAATGACCCCTTTTAGTACAGGTGGAATTAGAGTTCCCTTTGAGCAAAACACTTGAGACACATGACAGCACAATCCACAGTGTCATTCTAACATTAATATATTATTACACCCCATACTACACAAGCCTATCAAGGCTTATGGAGGGGTGCTGGACCAAGAAAGATGTATTTAGTTTATATAAGACAGGGATATTCACAGTTATATGACTCTAGAGTTACATCTACCATCAACTAAAAGAGGCAAATTACTCCTGTATAAAAGTATAGTATTATAAAAATTTCCTAGACTTATGGCTTTAAGACTTATGACTATGGAATGCAGAAAGAGTGACATGAAGTTCAAGAGGGATCATCTAAGTATCACTGATCTAAGAAAAATGCTATCCTACGTTGACCAGTCTGGTAGGACTAAGAGACTATATGTCCACAGCATCATTTAATGGGAAAAGCATTAACTTGGGCATCTAAAGAGCTTCACTGTGATTCTGAGTCTGCCTCTAACTTATAGTGTCACCCTGAACAAGCCAATGTACCTCCTGGGGCCTCAACTGCTTCATCTAGAAAATAAGCAAGCTGGACACGATGAATCATAGAACCTTTGAATCCAAGTTCTCAGGGGACATTCACTATAGGCTCTGCTGAAATCAGGAATCCCATCCAAAACTTTCCTATAATGGTCATATTGGGGAACTTACTATACCTGAGGCATATCATTCCATATCAATCAAGCAAGCAACAGTTATTAAGTGCCTACGTGAGGAGGGAGAGAATTATAGGCATGAGGGATAGTCAAAGAAAATGTGCAGGGCTGAAAGATGGAATGTTTTGTTTGTGGAACAGCCAGGAGGCAAGTGTTAGTGGATTAAAGAGTACGTGACAGGGTGAAATGTAAGAACACTAGAAAGGTAGGAGAGGGCTAGATTATGAAGGGATGTGAAAGCCAAAAAGAGTATTTTGTATTTGATCTTGGAGGACAGAGAGCCACTGGAGTTTTGAGTAGTGGGATGACATGATGGGACTTGTGTTTTAGGAAAATCATTTTGGTGGCCAAATGGAGGATGGACTGGAGTGAGAAGAGATGAGGCAAGCAGACCCTTCAGCAAACTACTGCAGCAGTCGAGGTTTGAGGTGATAAGGGCCTGCACCTGGGTGAGGGCAGTGTTAGAGGAGAGAAGAGGGCATATTCAAGAGATGTTGCAAGGGTGAAATAACAGGCCTTGCCAATAGACTAGATTTGGGGAGTGAGAGACAGGGGAATCAAGGAAGACTCCTAGGTTGCAAGCCTGAGGAACTGGAAGGATGGTGCTGCCCTCTCCAGTAATAGAGAGAGGAAGGGGGAGAGGATTTAGGGGGAAAAGATAATGAGTTTAAGATGTTTAATGGACATCCAGTTTGAGAGGTTAGAGATAAGCAGAGACATTTAGATAGCTCTGTTGGTAAGTTTTTAGTTATGTTGAACAAAATCTGTCCCCCTATAACTTCCATACTTTAATCCTAGTTACAAAATAATTCAGGTGTGATCTGACTAGAGACTACCATATCGCTGCCTTGGGAGAATATTTCTATTAATGCAACCTAGGATCTTTTAGTCTGACATTTCAAATATAACTCTTATCAAGCTTAAAATCAACTAATACCTCTAGATCTTTTTTTACATAAAATTCTGGCTGACCACATATTGCCCATTCTATACTTGTGCAGTTGACTTTTTGAACTCAAGTGTAGGACTTACATTTTTTATCATTATTAGATTTCACTTTATTAGCTACAGTTCATAGTTCTGACCTAGGCAGACCTTTGTGGCTCCTGATTCTGTGATCAAATATCTTAGGGATCCTCACAGGCTCAGACCACCTGCCAATTTGGAAAGTAATGCTTTCTATGCTTTCATATAAGCCACTGATAAACAATTTGAATAAAATAAAATCAATGACAAAATCCTATAATTTTAAGGGATACTCCATTAGAGACCCACTCACTCCCTGGTTGAAACTGATCCATTGAACAAAACACTTTGGATTTGACTCATCACCAACGAACTCAACTAATTCTATTATCTGATCTAGGTCATTCTAGTTGTCCACTAGAAGAGTAACATGAGAAACTTAGTAATGAAAGGCCTTGATGAAATTAGGATATGTCACTTTCACAGAATTCATCTGATAGATGATTAGCAGTAATCCTGTTACAAAAGAATAGGCACTGAGGATAGCACAATTTGTTCTTCATAAACACATCCTGAATCTTAGTGATCCTTTTCCTTTCCTAAGTGTTCACAAATTGTCCTTTTAATAATTCAATCTCTTTCTGAAACAGAAACAGAAAATTCTAATTCTGGCCTTTGAGTCCGTCCTGATAAAACAGCCATTATACTCATAAATAAGGTAGGGAAACTATTTTGAACATACTGTTGTTAGGAAGAGATACAATGGATAGAAAAATATTCCTAAAAAAAAGTTATCGGTCTAAGACTTTTCAACTGAACATCTACAGAAAGCAAATAATACCTAGGCTCAAAATCAGAGATTGAAAGCAGGAAGGGATCTTAGTCATCTAGAACAACACTTTCCTTTTGTAGATGAGGACAGGCCCAAAGGGTTGAAGTTCCTTCTGACACAGATCATAAGGGGCAAAAAAAGTCAAACCTAACATCCACTAGCTCCAACTGCAGAATTCTCTCCACTACATCATGCTGCCTTCTATCATTTAAAATGTGACTCAATGACCTAGATGATGAAATAGAGTCTGTTCTTGAGTTACTAATAGTATGTTTAACACCCCATGTTAAAATTCAAAATGACCTCTGAACTTTTATCGTGTGTATATAAACAAGATAGGATTCATTAGCAGAGAAGCATAATGAACAAAAATCTGACCTGATTATTGTCTTGCAGTGCTTTTAACTCTGCCTCCATTCTGATATTATTTTGAGTCTGTCGCTGAAGTAACTGTTGAATATGTTCAAAAGAACTGATGATTCCCTTTTAAATAAAAAATATATATTATGAACATTATAAAATATAAACACCATAGGTATGTTATCAAAATTTATTTTTATTACAATAAGTTTCTTTAAAATATTTTCTAGCAGCTTGGCAAAAACCAGGCATAGACCAACATGTCATACCACATACCAAGATAAGGTCAAAATGGATACATGGTTTAGACATGAAGGGTGATAACATAAGCAAATTAGGGGAGCATGGGAAAATGTACCTGTCAGATCTATGGACAAGGGAAGAATTTATGACCAAACAAGAGATAGAGAGGATCACAGGACATAAATGGATAATTTTGATTACATGAAATTAAAAAGCTTTTACACAAACAAAACTAATGCTGCCAAAATTAGAAGGAAAACAGGAAACTGGGGCGGGGTGGGGTTGGGAAATTTCAGCAAGTTTCTCTGATTAAGGCCTCATGGAAAATTGGGCCAAGTTTATAAAAATAAGAGCCATTCTTCAGTTGATACATGGTCAAAGGATATAAACAGGCAGTTTTCAGAAAAAGAAATCAAAGGTGTTAATAGTCACAAGAAAAAATGCCCTAAATTACTACTGATTAGAAATGTGCATTAAAACAGCTCTGAGATAGCACCTCAGACCTATCAGATTTGCTAAAATGACACAAAAAGAAAATGACAAATGTTGAAGGGGATGTGGAAAAATTGGGTCACTAATGCACTGTTGGTAGAGTTGTGAACTGATTCAACCATTCTGGAGAACTATTTGGAACTATGCCCAAAGAGCAATAAAATGGTGCATACTCTTTGACCTGCAATGCCACTACTAGGTCTGTATCCCAAAAAGATGAAAGAAAAGGGAAAAGGACCCACTTGTTGTTGGTTTTTTTAATTTGGGGGGGGAGATCAGGCAATAGGGTTAAGTGACTTGCCCAGGGTCACACTGCTAATAAGTGTTATGTGTCTGAGGCTGGATTTGAACTCAGGTCCTCCTGAATCCAGGGCTGGTGCTCTATGTACGAGCTGCTCCAAAAGGACCCACATATACAAAAATATTTATAGCAACTCTTTTTGTGGCAGCCAAGAATTGGAAAAGGGGATGTCCATCAATTGGGGAATGGCTAAACAAGTTGTGGTATATGAATGTAATGGAACTATTGTGCTATAAGAAATGATGAGCAAGCAGGGTTCAGAAAAACCTGGAAAGACTTACGTGAACTGATGCTGAGTGAAGTGAGCAGAACCAGAACATTGTACACAGTTAACAGCAACATTGTGCGATGATCAACTTTGATAGACTTAGCTCTTCTCAGCAATACAGTGATCAAAGACAATTTCAAAAGACTCATGATGGAAAATGCTATCCACATCCAGAAAAGAATTATGGAGTCTGAATGCAGATCAAGGCATATATTTTCTCTTTTTTGTTGTTGTTGTTTTTTCTTTCTTGTGGTTTTTCCCTTTTGTTCTGATTCTTCTTCCACAACATGGCTAATGTGGAAATATGTTTAATATGAATGTATATGTATAGCCTATATCACATTGTTTGCTGTCTCGGGGAGGGGAAGGGAAGGAAGGGAAGGAGAAAAAATTTCGAACTCAAAATCTTATAAAAGTGAATGTTGAAAACTATCTTTACATTTAATTTGAAAAAATAAAATACTTTTAAGTGGGAAATTTTTTTAAAAAAGAAATGATGAGCAGGATGGTTTCAGAAAAATCTGGGAAGGCTTATATGAATGCAAGCAAAGTGAAGTGAGAATCAGGAGAACATTGTACACAGTAACAGTAATATTGTAAGGAAGAGCAACCATGAAAGACTTAGTTACTCTGGTCAAGACAATAATCTTAGGCAATTCCAAAGGACCCACAAAGGAAAAATGCTATCCATTTTCAGAGAAAGAACTGATGAACTCTGAACACAAACCAAAGTATACTTTGTTTACTTTATTTTTTCTTGTGTATTTTTGCCAGTTTTCTTTCACAACATAGCTAACATAGAAATATGTTTTGCATAACTTCACATGTATAGTCAATATTAAATTGCTTACCTTCTTAAAGAAGGAAAGAACTGAAACTCAATTTTTTAAAGAAAATAAGATGTTAAATTTTCTTACATGTTATTAGGAAGTACTTAAAGAAAACATGAAAATATATTTAAAAATAAACCAAAAGAAAGCTTTTTTTTTTGGCTAAGCAATGGGGTTAAGTGACTTGCCCAGGGTCACACAGCTAGTGTTATGTGTCTGAGGCTGGATTTGAACTCAGGTCCTCCTGAATCCGGAACTGGTGCTCTATCCACTGCACCACCTAGCTGCCCTTAAAAGAAAGCTTTTTGACAGAAGTTAGGCTTCAACTAGGATTTTACACCATACACCACAATAAATTCGAAATAAACAGTCAACCAAAATGTAAAAGTTTTCATCGTTTTTTCAAAAAGTAAAGGAGAATGACAGAAATTACCCTTGATAGCTAGAGGGAGAATTTTTAGCCAAATAAGGAATGGAAATCAGAAAAGACAAAGTATACATCATATTATATAATAATATAAATCTCATACACAAACAAAATCAATGAAGATAGAAAAAGGGAAACTGTAGAATGAAAAAATTTGCATCAAATATTCAAATGGATCTGTGATCTCATCAACTGAAAAATTCCCTCTAGCCCCTGAGATCCTTGAATACTCAATACCAAAAGAAAGCTGCAGCAGAATACCAGATAATACAGATCAGGAAGAAACACCCCCCCACACCCTTCCCCAGATGTGTAGAGTCTAGAATTGGGGGAAAAAAAGTTCCAATTCAGCAACTAAGCTTAACAATGAGTAAACAGAAGAAGGCACCAGCTCCAAAGATGTCCAGGACACAAACTCAAAAGAAAAGGATAACTTTGTAACATCTACAAGCAAAGCCTCAAACAGAAATGAAGCTTGGCCACAAGGTAAATGGAAACACTGAATGAAAGGATGAAAAGATGGGAAAAGAAATGAGAACTCTAAAAAGGAAAGACTTGGAAGGAGAATAAACAACTTAATACAGGAGATTCAACATCTTACACAAGTAACAGATGGAGGCTTTAAGACTTAGGTGTCTTGTCTCTGGTTATGTTGGCAGTTGCCTTTCTTGGAGGGCCCCTCTTTCCTATTGTCCCTGGGTTTCTTGCTTGTTTTTTTTTCTGCAGTTCTAGGGTAAAAGATGATACTGATGAAGGGGACAGTTGGTTGGCACAGTGGATAGTGTGCTGTCCGGGGAGTCAGGAGGAGCTGTGTTCAAATGTGACCTCAGATACTTACTGGATATGTGACCCTGGGGAAGTCACTTAACCTCTATTGCCTCAAAAAAAAAAAAAGAATGAAAGATGATACTGATGGTCAAAAAGCAGGATCAACCATCCCACCTAAAATTACAGCAGGGGGTGGAAACTGACCCTGGCACAAAGCTGTAATTCAGGAATTGAAGCTGGAGAGATGAGTAAATTTTTTTTAAAAATCAAACTGTATAAACATTGTTGAAAATTTAACTCCATAATAAATGGAAGCAGAAGAGGGAAAATGGGTTTTCCCATAATGACTATGTGACTACTTGGAAGAAATGCGCAGGAGATAATTTTTTAAAAATTCTTGAGGAACAAACTGGAAGGAGATTAAATACTTCAGAAGAAAACAGTGGTGAACTTTACCAAAGAAATGGAATCTCTAGGTATTAGAATAACCAAAGAGAAACCAGTAACTCCATGAGACAATAATATTAATATAAAAATAAAAATATTTAAATAATGAAAGAAAATATAAGACGCCTGACACCAAAAACAAGTGACCTAAAAAAAGGATTGAGAGATAATTTAAGAATAATTAAACTCCATAAAAACATAATTTTTAAAAATCCTAGACACTATATTTCAATAAATCTTCAATGAAAACTGAGTTCTCCTGAATTATCAGTAAGAAGGTTCTATAATATTTTGGGGTTTAAAATAATCATCACAATAGAATTCTCAGACAGGACTATCTAGAAGACTTCACAATTCATAAGGAATTGCCATTCCTTTTGGACTCAGCACAGTTTCCAAAACTGTGGCAAATATCTTTTGAAAAGAATGCATCTCCCTATTTTATGCCTTGCTTTATACTAATAATCAGGGATAATTTAATCAAATTTTTCTTTCGGTATATAAATCAGTAAATCTTGTATAATTTTAGCATATACATGGAAGGCACCTTGCTGGAGGATAGCATTTAAGGCTATATTTTACCTTACCAAGGATTTAAGCTATAATTTGATAGCATTAAAAGCAATATTTTATCAAGTCAAAACTTTTTTTTAGAATTAGCATTGTGGGATATGACATATTCTCTATACCCTTCAACCATGTTACAGTGAAAATGTAGCCTGATTTATGCTCATTCTTCCAACCTACTCCTTAACTTTGGACTTTATGTTAATGTTGCACTCTGCACACGTTAAGGCAAAGGGGAGAAGGATGATGCCTAGCTTAAATTAATGTCCTTTTAGGTCTTTCATAGCTACTTTCATAGCTCAGGCTGGGAACATGCAAGTCTTCAAAGCTGCCAATGATGTGAACCAGAACAAGGCCTCCCTACCCAAATTTGGGTATTTTGGCTTGTCCATGGCTGATTTTAGTAGACTACTGCTAGACTAAGTTAGACTAGCCTGCTGGGAGACTCACCAGGTTCAGATCAACTGAACTGCAGGCTCTCCTTCTGAAACCCTGCCCTGATTATTTCACTGTAGTTTCAAACTGGGCTAGAACCTAGAACTGAGCCCCTTCTTTGCTCTTGGGATTAGATCCACACGGCTAGGGTCCATGTTTTCAACTGTTCCTCTCCACCCTGGATCTGTGATCCAGACCTGGGTAGGGGGCAAGAGAGCTGCTAAATAGCACCTTTCCAATACTCTGAGCCCATTCAGAAATCCCCTGTGATCTCTTTCTGCCCTGTGCTTCCTACCCTGGTGCCCAGTCTTGACCCTCCTTCTATACCTAGGTGTTGAAATGCTGCACATCACTTACTCCTGGCCAGATTTTGTTCCTAGTGTCTGAGAACCTACTTCCCTAAGCTACCCAAGGCCAGAAAAATGACTCAGTGGGACATTTTCTTGTCGTTCGCAATCACAATTCAGTCTGGGGCATTTTTTCTGTGGAGGAGATATGGTAGAGAACTAGGTTGTGCTTCTTCCTCTTACTCCAACATCTTGACTCTGCCCATCTCCCAAGTCTACTGTCAATCATGACTATTTGTGATATGCCTTCTTGTTTCCATCTGCTAATTTCACAAAGGAAAGATTTTATAAAGATGTGAAAGTAGGCATATGGATCTGTAGTTATAGTAGTTACTCTACTGCCTTTAAAAATATACAGTATTATCATTGATTTTCTTCCCAATCATTCATTACCTTCTCCTCTTTCAGATATCCTGGAAATCGAGCCTTTGATACTTTCAAAATCATGACTTCCACAGCACAGATTTCTTTTGTGTGTACTAGGTCTGTTCCAACTGTTCTTCCTATCTTTATCTCCATTAGTACCAATTTCACTTTGTCATATACCAAACTAGAGACTAACATACTAAATACCATTCCCTTATCATTGATGAAAAAATAATTAATTATAGAATGGGGACAGAGAGGGAGAGGAAGGGAACATGCACCTACTACATGCCAGGAACTGTGCTAAGCTCTTTATGAATATTATCTTATTTGATCTTGACAATCCTATGAGGTAGGTGCTATTACTGATCCCCATTTTAGAGCTGAAGAAACTGAGGCAGACAGTGGTTAAGTAACTTGCTCAGGGTCACACAGCTATTAAGTATCTGAGGCTGGATTTGAACTCAGGTCTTCCTGACTCCAGGCTCAGAGCTCTATTAACTCTACCACCAGCTGCCACATTATTGATGAATGTGTTCCATCTTTCCTCTGTTGTTCTCTTTTCAGTTATAGCTACATATTATTGGTATTAATCAATAAGCATTTATTCAGTACCTACTAGGTGCCAGGTACTGCTCTAAGCACTGAGGCTTCAAAGACAAAAATGAAACGGTACCTACCTTTAAGGAGTTTACATTCTATATAGTAAGACAGGATTTAAACATACAAGTGTATGTTTAAAATGTATACAAAGCAAATGCAAGGTGATTTGAGGGAGGACACTAGGACCTGTGAGGATCAGAAAAGTCATCAAGTAGAAGGTGCTAATGAAATAGCCTAGTCTTGAGAAAACAAGGGATTCTAGGAGGCTGAGATGAGGAGGGTGTGCATGGCAAGTAGAGGGGACAGCTGGTGCAAAGACATGGAGAAGGGAAAGAGTGTCATACATGAGCAAGAGTAAAAACATCAATTTGTTTTTGTTTAATTAAAATTTTTTTCAATTCAACAAAATTTATCTTCTCTTCCTCCTACCTCTCCCCTCACACACATATACACACAAAACTAAAAAAGAAAAAAAATGACTTTGTAAAAATATGTATAGTCAAGCAAAATAAATTCCTGCATTGGTTACAACCAGAAAAAGAATGCCTCTAGGGTTTCACCTCTCTATCAGGAGGTGGGTAACATATTACATTATAATTCTCTAGAACTGTAGTTGGTCATTGTGTTGACCAGAGTTCTTAAGTCTTTCAAAGTTGCTTATTTTTACAATATTGTTGTTATTGAATAAATTATTCTCCTGGTTCTGCTCACTTTACTCTGCAGCAGTTCATATAAGCCTTCCCAGGCTTCTCTGAAACTGTTCCCTTTATCATTCCTTACAGCACAATAATGCTTCATCACATTCATATACCATTACTTGTTCAGCCATTCTCCTATTGACAGGCACCCATTCACTCTCCCCCTCTTTTTCACCAGAAAAAAAAAAGTCACAATAAATATTTCTGTACATTTGGATCCTTTTCTCTTTCTTTGATCTCTCTGGAGTAAGAAGTCAATTTAAATGGGCTTTAGAGTACATGAAAGGGTATTATGTCAAAGGTGTGTGTAGTACGGTTGGAATAGTAGGTTGGAGCCAAGTTGAAAAGAACATTAAATGACAAAGAGAATAGTTTAAATTTTATCCTAAACAAAATAAGCCATCGGAATTTATTGACTAGAAGAATGATATGGTCAAACTTGTGCTTTTGGAAATGGAGATAAGCCTGTTATGTAGCAAAAGGAAAGGCTGACAGATGGACAGTCTAACTATCATGCCCCACCAGTAATAGGACCCAAGTGCTCTACTGGTACTCAAATGATATGAAGAGATCTAGGGGAAGGCCTCAGCAAGTAAGCCCCTGCACAAGATTTATGGGAGGACTTGGACAAAAGTGGTATAAGAGAAAACATGTAACCTGTACTGCTCGAGAGAGTATCCAAAATCCCTCAAAAAGAATTTATTAAGTGCTTACTATAGGAGATCACAAATGCACCATAGGCAAATTAATAGGGTTTTTTTAAAACTATAAGCAGAAATGAAAAATGAATAAGTCCTATGTGAGTAGATTGTATTTAGAGACCTGAGTTACATGGGCTTTGTAAACAGTTCATAAAAATCTGATCTATGTTTGACAAAACTATTGAAAATGATTGCACATTTACACATTACTTTTCATACATGTTACTAAAAGTTTAAGTAATGAGGTTTGACACTAATGAGAAATATAAAGAACTCCACAACAAAATAATCTTTTATGTTGGACTCTCCTCATAACCAATGCTATTAAAAAGCTATATTACTGCTAACATGAGACATCATGAAAATCATTCAAAATCAAGGAAAAGAGACGATAAAAATATATATTAAAGCAATCTTCTTGAACAAACATACTTCTTTTATACTTAAGAATTCAACTGAATTCAACAAACCTTTACTAAGTGCCTACTATGTGAAAGGCATTGTGCTAGGCTCTTGGGATACAAAGACAAAAATTTAAAAGTTCCTGTCCTCAAAGAGCTTACATTTCACTAGAGGGATACAACATGTACCTGGATTTAAAGGTTAGAAGTGAAATAAATACCCTTATCACAAAATTCAAGGCAACAATCAACAATATCTCCAATATATACTTTTGGGTTTGCTTTCTCCAATTAGGTTTATTATAAAAATGAATTGTCATACAACCAAATCATGTTAATTTTATGAAGCAGGTCCTACCCAAAGAACAAGCTACTTGAGGTCAGAGACCATATCTGTTTTTTCCTGTGCTACATTGTGCTTACCACAATGCAAAAACGTAGTAGTCACTCAAACATTAGTTCATTAATTGGTTCCATCACTTCACACCAAAAAAATTCTAAGTGAACCCAATGGAAACTTTCCCAGAATAAAGGACACAAAAAATATTGTATTTCAAGTATGAAAATATTATTTACCTGTTTTTCTTCTTGCATGAAGGTTACCTTTTCACTAACCTTCTTTCTTACTTCAATTTCCTTTAAAGATTTAAATGATTCCAAAGGTTATCAATTAAAGGTATATAATTATGAAAAAAATCCTTTTAACACATTTTCAAAATAGGAACTTTCATTATTTCAACCTAAAATCTAACACCATATACTGTCACTTGATTTACTGGTTGATGAATAAATTTGTAGAAATTTACACATTTAGCACCCCATAATATACCACTTACCCCTAATTTTCTTTCCCTAGGGTACTGACTCCTGTGAAATTCAGAAGGTTTCCTGCTATATAACCTGGTGAAAATGGCAATTGATAATGAAAGTTTGCAGGGCCTCCTAAACCTAAAAGTATCTCTGGACCACTGAAACATCTGAGATGTATGACCCTGTTGGTGGCTTCTAAATTGTTTATATGATGAAATTTTGTTAGTCCAGGGTACTGGTTCTCAAAGTGTTGTCCACAGACCCCAGGGACTCCCAAGACCCTTTTGGTGGGCCTACAAGATCAAAACTATTTTTTTAATAATACTAAGACATTTTAATAAGTATAATTCACATAAACAAAAGCTTTTTGGTGGGGGGCAGTGGTCTTCAATAATTTTAAAAGTGGTCTTAAGACCAAATCTTCTGATCTAGAGAGTACCTCAACTAAAAAAGATATTGAGAAACTGAGTAAAACAGAACCAAATTATTTTAGCTATAATTATTTCTATTATACATACTGATTTCATATTCCAAAGAAATGAGTTTGTTTTAAGATATATAAGCTGTTACAAAACTTTTTTTTAAAAGCAGCTAAGGAATATCAGCCAAATGAACACTTTTTTGCTTAAATACCATTCGGAGTTTTTCTTGTAATTCTTGAAATTGCTGTTCCTTTATTGTAAGATTGATATCTTCTCCTTCTGCCCTGTACTGACATGTGATCTTGGACTTTATCAGATCTGTAGTTACTTTTTTTAGTTCCTTAACAAAGGAAAATAATATTAAACAGTGTATTCAGTACAATTATCATATTTCAGTAGCTTCAAGTTGATAGTCCTTAAATCTATCTAAAGTAATAATTTGTCTTTCATACATAAGTTCAATCCCCAGTGCACTCTGAGATGTCTTCCTAATAGTGCTGATCTATCCATACTCTCTCCCTCATTCTCTTTTGACCAATTGCATATGGCTATAACAACTTTAGAGGGGAGGAATATAGCTTCTGGCTATGGAGCCAGGCAAAAACCTTTAATGGGACAGACTGGTAACATGAAAACGGCCAACTGACCAAGTACAGGTAGCATATTGTAGATAAAAAAGGACATTTGTGAAATTCCTTAGCCATTCCTCCCACATTTCCTTTCCCCCAAAGTTCAGCAGATCCCTAGGATACCAAAAATATTTTTATAAATTGTTATGATGTTGATTACATTGCAATACCACTTTGTCTCTAAGTGAATCAATGACTAACAGTTTTTGAGTCAACCAAAGGTGATTCATTAATAATAATAATAATATCTAGCATTTATATAGTGCCTATAATGTGCCAAGCACTGTGTTAAGCACTTTACAAGTATTATTTCATTTGATCCTCATAAAAACCTTAGGGGTAGATATTATTTTATAGTTAAAGAAACTAGGACAAACACAGGCTAAGTAATTTGCTCAAGGTCATATAACTAGTAAGAGTCTGAGGCTGGATTTGAACAAGAATAAGAACACTTTAAAGAAGATCAGAACTTTAAAGATGATTTAGTCCAACCCAAATGAATGTGTCATCTTTGACCCCTTTCTCTCTCTACCAGGTTCAATAGTTGCCAAATCTTACTGATTTTACCTCTAAAATACCTATTTCCCAATTTCCTCCTTTTCCATTCTTACTCTACTTCAGGCCTTTATCCCTTCTCACCTGGACCCCTGCAATAATTTCCTGAGTCTCTCTATTTTCTCCCTGCTCCAATCTACCTCATACACTTCTGCCAGATTAATCATCTTAATATGAGTTTATTCTTAACCTCTAATATATTTATCATATTCTATTTGGTGTTATAATTATTTTTGTATATACTGGAGTCAGAAAACCTGGGATCAAGTCCTTACTTCACCACTTACCAGCTATATGACCTTGGGCAAATCAATCATCCCTTAACCTTAATTCCTGGATGATTTCATCATTTTTAAAATGGCAGGAGAAAAGCATGTGAAAAGATTAATGAAAGTGTTAGATCAGCTGGAAGAAATTCAGCTGAAAGTGTTAATTGACCACTGCCAGTTTTAAAGGGCCTCTGTGAAGAATGTGTGACATACAGTGTCTCAGGAAGGAATGGTTATAGACCCTCAAATTCTGTTTGGCTTTTACAGTTTTTCACAACCAGACCCCTTCCTGCATATTTCTTCCCTCTATATACACTATGATCCAGCAACACTGGACATCTTGGTGTTCCTCACATCCTACACTCCACCTCCCAACTCCAGGCCTTTGCCCTGGCTGTGCTCTATACCTAGAATACTCTCCCTCCTCACCTCTATCTCCTGGCTTCTTTTAATACTCACCTCAGATCCTACTTTCTGCAGGAGGCCTTTCCAAGTGTCTTCCTTCTGATATTACCCTCCATTTACACTGGAGGTAATTTGTTTGCAAAACGTTTGATTATTGTGTCTTCCTTTACAATGTGAGCTCCTTAAAGGCAGGGACTGTTTTGTCACTCTTAGTATCTCCAGCACTTTGCACAATGTAAGGCACATAATAAGCACTTAATAAATGCCAGGTGACTGATTGACCCAGAGAAGATAGAAGTACTCACGGAGGTGGGCCAAATGCATATAACCTAAAATAACTAAGGAATTTTCTGGGATTTAGAGATATTATCAATAGTTTTTAAGGAATTATGTTATCATCACTAAGTCAATCATGATTGTACTTTAAGAAGAATCAGAACCAGAAGGGTAAGAAAGGTCAATCTGGCCCAATCCTTGATATTTTTTGGAGATTTATGAAACAAAAAGTGTGAACGGCAGATAAGGACTCCTTTGTCCCGTCACTACCAGGAGCTGTGGGAGTAGATTTCCCCACCCTCGAGACAGATGATTGGTTGGAGATCTTGTAGAGGAGATTTAATCTTACAAAAATATAAGTTGCAGATTAAAAAGGGAACAAGGCAAAAACTTGCAGATGGTTCTGTCCAAATCCACTCCCAGTACATGAAGAATAACTCAATATGCATACTATTTAGATGAAATCATACTGTCATCTCTATATACAAGAAATAGTGCAATAATTTAGCACTTTTACTGATTTCTAAAGGAGGCAGTTTGCTCAGACAGAAATGACCCTGGGTTTGTAATTTGAGGAACTGAGATTGGAACATGGTTCTGCCATTTACTAACTGGGTGACCTTGGGCAACTATCTTCATCTCTCTGAGCTTCATTTTCCTCTTCTGTAAAATGAGGAGGCAGAATTAGATTACTTCAAATTTACTTTCTAGGTCTATCCCCATGCTTCCTTGGTCTTGATGACCAATCTAGTCTCTAGATTTAGCATTAATCAAGTCTATTTAGGAGAAGCACATTAGCAAAGTAAATAAATTAATAGCAGATATGATATCAGCAAGGCCTTGGTTTTGAAGCACACTAACTTTTGGATCATTTAACATCTCAGTGTTCTAGGCAGCTCTTTAATATTTTAAGTGACTCAGGTTCCATGTCATATATTCCTAAATCACAGCTGAAGACCAAAAATTGATTTCTTATACCTACATGGGCACACTACACAGCATTATTGATATCAACATATCAAATATCCTTTCAAAGCTTAAAAAAATTGTGAACAGGTTTTTAAGGACTTAATCAGCTGGCCCCCACATGCATCAGTGTTGGCTTAGGCAGATGCAGGCAAAACTTCTGTGTTCCACATTGCTAGCCTGGAAGGCATGGGAAGAGTCTTTTTAAATTTTAATTTACATTTATTTTAATTTTATTTATTACTTCTTCCTTCTACTTCTTCCTCTACCCACTGAAAAGGCAAGAAAAATGATACCCATTATATATATATATATATATATATATATATATATATATATATATATATATGTATATATATATATATATATATATATATATAAAGTCACGCAAAACATGTTGGTAGCACCTACAAGTAACATTTAGCTCCACATAATATGATATAGTTCTCTGTTGCATAGCTTAAACGTCTACCATTTTCTCAACAGTAGGGTGCCTTCTGAGGCATAAGGTACTTATTAAGTATCTACTATGTGCCAGGCACTGTGCTAGGCCCTGAGGTTACAAGTACAAAGATACATGATGATTTTTGAAATCCGAGTAAAGAGAAAGCATGGATTAGCAAGAAATAAATTTTACTGGCCCAAAATAGCAAGAGAGGCCTATAAGAAGTGTGAGATATGTTCAAAGCAAAATGTTACTAACTTATGCTATATATGTTGGAAGTGAAATCAACATGCTTTTGGAGTGTGTATGCATTTTTTTTTATTCTCTCAAATGAGATAGGAAAAATTAAGCAATATCCTAGTAGTACAATTACAAGCAAAGATGGTGAAGTGGGAAGCAGTAAAGCCTAGCTCTCCTCACAGCTACTCCAACAATTATATTTAAAGGCAACTTTTAACATTCATTTTCTTAAAATTTTGAGTTCTAAATTCTCTCTCTCACTCCCTCCCTTTCCCCCTCCTTGAAACAATAAACAATTTGACACAGGTTATATACGTCCATTCACGCAAAACATTCCAACAAAGATCTAAGAAGAATACCAGAATAAACAGTGATCAGGAAATCTAAAGAGAACATACAGGAGATCATTTTTCTCTATCCAGAGATCATGAATTCAGCCTACAACATGGTGATAAAGACAGGACCTGTGGAACAAAGGTAGGCCTGAAGCTCTGTCACTGAACTCAGAGAAGATACCCAAATTCACTCTTCCAGGCTTAGAATAAGGTAGCCAGCAGCTCTGTTTTTCTGAGGCTACAGGGACTTCTAGCTAGCTAACAGTGATGGAAGCCAGCAACTGTCTACTGGAGCTCTAATCCAGAGACAAGTCTGTAGCTGTGTTGGTTAGACTCAAACTATGGTCTAGACTAGAGCCTAGGAAGTCCAGGAGGGCAATGAAAAACTATATTCTAGATCAGACCAGTTAGGGCCTTTTAAAAGTTTGAAGCTCCCTAAACTGAAATGCCCCAAGATCCTTCAAGAACATGGCACTAAATAATAGGAGAACAAAGTATCAGAACACTAGAAAATACAGAGCAGGAACATACATGGCTATAATATTCCCTCCAAAAGTTTTCAGAGCCTAGACTTAACACAAAGTTCCAACCTAGAAAGTAAGGCTAGAAGAATTAAAAACAGACTCCCATGACAAAGAGTTATTTTGGTTCTAGGGATGCCCATGACATAAACCTAGAAGAGAAAAATTCCAAAACACCTACAAAAAAAGCTTGACCACAAATTTTTAAAAGAGTTAAAAATTATAAGTAAAATGAGAGTAAAAGGATAGAAGTGGAAGAAATGAGAGCTTTAGAGGAAAAACTTAGAGAACTAACAGTTTAGCATAAGAGGTACAAAACCTTACCCAAGTGACAGACTAAAATTTTTTTTAAAATTAACTTTGACATCATATTTCAAGAAATCATGCAAGACAATTGCCCAGATCTATTAGATCCAGAAGGCAAAGTTAAAAAAGAAAAAAAAAAACAAAACTAGCAGTCACCTACTGAAAGAGACCCCAAAATAAAACATCATCACTAAAATTTAGAACTTCCAAGGCAAAGAAGAAATAGTGCAAAAAGCCAGAAAGAACGACTTCAATTACCAAATGAATACAGTTAGGGATCACATAAGATTTAGCAGTGAACAAAGAAAAGAGCAGAGAGCATGTAATACAGTATTCCAAAAGGCAAAAAATATAGGCTTACAATGAAGAATAATTTTTTTTCCAGCAAACCTG